TTACGTTTAGGTTTAATGCTAAAATACCATTATCCAAGTATTCGATGTATTCAGTTTGTAAAAGTAAAAGTAGATGATTAACGGGTTTTATTACGGTGGTTCAAGTTTACTGAATTTAACCTTATAGTTTAATGAAGGATGTTTACTCCATGATTATCACGCAATAGCTAACCTTCAATATCTCGTACTAAAGTATTATTAAAGAACATTAATTTTAGTTTCTTTCGCACTTTTTACACTTGGAATCCACACTTGTCACGAACCATGGGGGAAGGGGGAGAGGGGAGACAGAGGAGTAGGGGAACTATTACTTAAGTATAGAGTATTTATACTATACTACTCACCATAGTACAGAAACATCCAGAATAAAGCGGACTTAACGTCGTTTTCATTCAATCTTTTAATTTGAAACGTTGCTAAGGGTTTTGTAATTAGTACCTGTTTTGTCTGATATATCTTAGGACTAATTTTCAGACATGACAGATAGATATATTACAAAAACCTTATTTACAATTCACATAAATCTTTTAACACAAACTTGGCACAATCCATTTGTTTTACTTTCCATGTTTTATTCTTATTTATACAATCGATGATTCATATTTTTCAAGTTCTTATTTCTATGATTTAAAAATTTCGGCTCGAGGCGTAATTCCCAAAGATAATATATATATAGATACGCAGGCAGGTAGAAACCTCCTTCCTAAATTGCCTGTAGCAGACAACTAATTTTTGAAAATCTGAGAAAATGTGCAAAAAGAGACATCTATAACAAATTGATTACTTTCTATATTCCTTTCTCCCCTTTCTGCTATCTGTAGGAAATACGCATTTATGTTATATAAACATACAGTACGCGTATTGCATCCTGTATATTTCAAGTGTTGCTATTTGGACCTGTTTGACCAATAAAACTAAATTTCAAGGTAACACAAACATACAGTACGCGTTTTGTTTATGTTATGATCAGATCAGTTGTAATTTGTCCTAGACTCGATGTACTTTTATAGTCATAATTTTTATTGAAATTTCGTTAATTTACGTATGCCATTCAGTACAACTTGCACATTTAAACTTTTCCTACCTCAGTTTTATTTGCATTGATTAATTTGTTTCATTAAGTACAATATGCAGTATACATTGTTGATACTATAGTACGCATTTAGTGTTATCACGCATAAACAAAGTGATAAATGAGCAACAATCCAGAGGATAAAATGCCATGCGTACGACAGAGATGGTGCTTTTTGCACATTTTCTCAAGACCTCTAAATTTATACCTGTCTGCATATCTATATATATATTATCGTTGGTAATTCCTTAAACCCGAATTTAAGACCCAACTCTGACGACAGCTGTTTCAAGATGACTGACAGCTGCAAGATCTATGGCTTGACTTAAGGAGTTAGGCCCAATGATAATAAAACCGACCTTGGTTGGGTTTAGTGGAGAATATAAGGCTCAATGTTGAGTCTTATTCTCATAAAAACCCGGAATGCGCCAATTCCTACCATGAAAATCCGTCAAATAGAATATTAAACCGGTTTTTGGAACTAAACTCTGTGGAAAATAAGATGCAGCTTGAATCCAAAAGCTCAAGTCGTAAATAAGGCCCAACGATAGCTTAGATTCGAGCCGTATTTTCCCGAATTCTTTTAAATCACTGGCTCTGGCCGCAATTTAAAAGCTTGGTATGGAGTAATAATTCCTCATACCCAGCTTAAAACCCAATCTAAGACCAAACTCTGATGACACATTGTGTCACGTGATTGACAGCTTCAAAATCTTAGGCTCGACTTAAGTTGAGTGAGGGATAATGAAAATAAAACCGACCTTGGTTGGTTTTAGTAGAGAATAAGGCTCAATGTTGAGTCTTATTCTCATCAAACCCGAAATGCGCCAATTGAAACCATGAAAATCCGCCAAATACAATATTAAACCGGTTTTAGGATCACAATTTCGGTGGAAAATTAGATGCAACTTAAATCCGAAAGCTCAAGCCGTAAATAAGGCCCAACAGCAGCTTGAAACCGAGTCGTATTTTTTTGAATTTTTAAATCGCCGACTAGTCAACAATTTTAAAAAACCGGGAAAATACTACTCAGGTCAAAGCTGTCGTTGGGCTTTATTTACAGCTTGGGCTTTCGGATTTAAGTTGAATTTAATTTTCCACAGAGTTGAGTTTTCAAACCAGTTTAAAATTGAATTTGGGCGGATTTTCATAATTGGAATTTGCGCATTCCGGGTTTTGATGAGAACAAGACTCAACATTGACCCAATTATTCAACAATAAAACCAACCATTTTTATTGGACCTAACTCCGTAAGTTGAGTCTAAGATCTAGAAGCTGTCAATCATGTGACACTAGCTGTCGTCAGAGTTGGGTCTAAGATTGGGTCTGAAAGCTTGGTTTAAGAAAATACGACTCGAGTCGAAGCTTTTAAATCGCGGGCGGGACGAGGAAAAATAGAACTTTGACACTTTAAAAATATTTGGACTGTAAAGAATAGCATAGTGACTAGTGATGGTAAGGCTGGCCAACATTTTTTTTCCCGTCCAACTGCATGTTATCAGAGCAGTTTTGGTCAAACACAAAAAACTGACAATGCGATATGATTAGATTTGATGATATGATTTATTGAAAGGACTGGCCAGTTACCCAGACTGGATATTCAATCAGACCGGATTCAATCAGTCAGATGGAATAAGTAGATTTAATATGGTGAAACCTAACCACAAAGCTAGTTCTTCTCAAGGAATAAAACTTATATAGAGTTAGGAGGAGAATACAAGAGTTATTGTTGAGAATAAAACCTCTCAAAACTTATATAGAGTTAGGAGAAGAAAAGAAGAGTTATTGTTGAGAATAAAACCTCTCAAAACCTTATTTTCGGAACAAAAGTTAGTCCAAGAAATTATCATTAAAAAAGAAACCTACTTAAAGAGTTTTTTAAAGGAGGAAATCATTCCTAAGGAGTTATTATAAGGAAAGAAAACCTATTTAAAGAGTTATTATAAAGGATAAACGCTTTGTGAACATCTGGCATACTTGATATTGATTTTCACTGATTATACCTTTACTAAACTCATCCTTGAATATCTTTACGCTTGTTAAATTCAGCCAAGACGTTCCTGATTCATGTATTAAAGAGAATGTTCATGATTTTCTGCAGTGCATCTATTTTCAATTCCATCCATTTAGATGAGAAGCCAACCTTAACGTTGTTATTAACAAGTTGTGAATATCAGAGGGTTGTGTAGATATTTCTTAGTTCTATAAATAATCATCCTATTAACTTTTGGTTCTATACTCTCTACTGAGAGTATTCGACTCCATCAACTCCTGGCACTATACTATCTACTTAAAGTACTAAACTCCATCATCTTCTTATACTGGTTCTGTACTCTGTACTGAGAGCATTAGACTCCAAAAACTCATGGTTTTATACTCTCTCTCCTGAGAGTACTAGACTCCACAAACTCATGGTCCTGGTTCTATGCTCTCTACTGAGAGTACTAGACTCCATCAACTCCTGGTCCTGGTTCTATGCTCTCTACTGAGAGTGCTAGACTCCATCAACTCCTGGTCCTGGTTCTGTACTCTCTACTGAGAGTACTTAACTATTTTAATTTTTCCATGGAATTATACTCGTGCGTATTGAATTCTCAATAGAAACGAAGTTTCATGTTGGAGAAATCTTTATTTATTCGTTTCATTTAGAAGTTCTATACTGTGTAGATTTAGAAATATAGAATCAGTTCCATTAGGATAATTTCTGTAATATCTATTCTATGGAATATGGATGTCATATTTACAAATACTAGGCTTTTAAGGCACTTCGCGCCCATCTTCTATTTCAATTGAGAACGTGTTCTCTTTGTATACATTGTAAAACAATAACAGAAAAAATTTCGTGGATTTTATTAATTTTTAAAAATCGAAATTTTGTTAAATGCAAACTTTTGAAAATTCGATCATCCATAAACCTTTCTTGGGGTCACGTGAGTTTCCACAAAAAATTTGGGCCCGATCGGTTCAGTCATTTTGACGTTTATTGGATACAAACAAACAGACAGACAAGCAAAGTATATATATAGATCGAAAATTATAGTAATGGAACACGGAAATACAGATTTCTGATTTCCCAGGAAATCGTTCCAGACAGATTCGTTCCATATTCAGGAGAATGGAACACAGAACTACGACCTACAAGATATCGTTCCTTGTATCTTAATGTATCTAGTATCTAGTATCTAGTATCTAGTATCTAATATCTAGTATCTAGTATCTAGTATCTAATATCTAGTATCTAGTATCTAGTATCTAGTATCTATTATCTAGTATCTGGTATCTAGTATCTAGTATCTGGTATCTATAGTATCTAGTATATCTAGTATCTAGTATCTAGTATCTAGTATCTAGTATCACTAGTGCACTTAAAGAATGTGAAACCAGAAAACAATTAAAATAGTTTTCTAAGAGTTGAAGGACGATATATCCGTACATCCAGGTTCTCCAGATATACGCTGTAATTGTTCAACCAAGCCACTAAACAACTCATCTTTAATCATATTTTTCTACTCTGTTGCACACTTTAAATACAAGAGCTAAGAAGATTTATCTTCTAATAAAAGAAGTCGAATTTTAAGATTTTTGTTCTTTGTTTTCTCCAACTTTTGATATCTATAAACTTCACAAGATATGATTAATATTTAATATTTAATATTTTCAGAGAAATGGTTGAACTGAGTTTAGAAGTTTAGTTCTACTCAAAACATAGAAAAATACACGAGGTATAGACAATTATTTTATATCGGATTAATTCCACGATGTTTACTACAACCTCAAAATTTCTGACCTCTTCATCTTATCGACCTGGTGGTTTGAATCATCTCAAGCGTATTTTATCTAACTGAATTCATAGTTTGAAATATATAAGGTTGTTGACGGATAGAAACAAGATTCTCAAGTTGAACAGATAAACAACAGATTAACCCCCAAATCAAAATCGAAAATGAAGAATTCTCTTTATTTCCTGAAAAAATTACATAAATGATAACATATAAAACTGTTACAATGAATGTTTATAATGAAAAAATTCTTACGATCTATTTTCTGATAGCAAAGGGGTTAAGTAGTTGGACAGTACTAAGACGTTTTAAACTTCTGAAATAAATGACAATTAATTATTAACGAAAGTCACTAATTCTTTATGTGAAAATATTCTTTGTTTAGCTTTTGAAAATGGATGGATTCACAATGCTTTAGGTTGTTTATACTCCTACAGGGAGAACAAAGAAACCGGAGGTTAAAATTATTTGGTTTGGTTTTGGTGTCTCCGAGAGGGGATCTAAGTTAAAGACGACTTTACACGGAGCAAAGTTAATGGTAGACAAAGGTGTACACCATAAGTAAGATATGAAACTATAAAATCTGAGTTTGTGGCAATGACTTAATTTCTTTGTGAGATCGAATTATAATTCCTTTGTTTTATTATACTCCAATCTTAATAAAACAATTTTAAAAAAAGATACAGAAATACATTTTTTTAGAAAAAAGAGAGGAATTGGAAAATATAAATTGAAAAATAAAACAAATTTTTTTTCTAGGCGCATAAAATGAGCGAGAAATCTCTCCACTTTTTTCTGATCATTACCATTCTTATTTTAGGTAAAATTATATCTATTTTAGGTATGTAAAATTATATCTATTTTAGGTAAAATTATATCTATTTTAGGTATGTAAAATTATATCTATTTTAGGTATGTAAAATTATATCTATTTTAAGTATGTAAAATTATATGGTATGTAAAATTATATCTATTTTAGGTATGTAAAATTATATCTATTTTAGGTATGTAAAATTATATCTATTTTAGGAATGTAAAATTATATCTATTTTAGGTATGTAAAATTATATCTATTTTAGGTATGTAAAATTATATCTATTTTAGGAATGTAAAATTATATCTATTTTAGGTATGTAACATTATACCTATTTTAGGTATGTAAAATTATATCTATTTACATGATTTAATGATTTAATATTGATTGTAATCAGAAAAATATATACTGATGATGATACTAATTTGATAAAAAGATAATGTTTTCTGAATAAGTTGAAAAACTTAATTACGTTTAGGTTTAATGTTTACTGATCAGCTGGAGATTAAACAAACTGAGGAAGAGGAAGGACTACAAGGAACCAGACTCGGAGATAATATAGAGACAGAGAATCAGGAGGAATGGGATTTAGAAGATAAAGCTGGGATCAAGAACAGATCCTATGATCTGGATCATGACGCTCAGCTGAAGCACGCCCAACTGCTGGAGAAGGTTATCAGGTTCGGGTTGAACCAGAGCGAATACCTCATCACAGTTCAGGTCTTACTTTTTTATCATATATTTGAACGTATCCTCCATCTGAAATATTAACAAATTCACAATTTAAGGATGATGAAGATATCTTTTCTAGATGAAAATTTATTAACCTTGGTGCACTTTTTTCTAGAAATGATTCTTAGATTTCTAAACTAAAGATTTTAAAAAATGGTCATGTCTTTTTCAATTTCAAACGGCAAATCGACGAATTCTATCTCAGAGTGTATAAAATAAAGGTGAAAAGGCACCATAATGAATTGTTCATGTCTCTCTTTAATTTTAAGAATCACATTAAATTACGCAGACATAATTTTCATTATTAAGATTCGAATCCTTTTTCTTCTTTAATCTTTGAGTCAAAAAAGTGTGATTTGCGGCGCCTGGTGCAAAATTGTACCTTTTTTTGTGCAACTCTCCTGTACAGTGTTTTTTTTCAATATTTTTTGAAAATTTGTAATTTTTTTAGTATTTCAATGGCCCAAAAGAAAATCCGCGAACCTTTTTTTCTCTCAAAATCAAATGTTCAGAAAAGCAAAAATGTGTATATAAATTATTTCTATCGAAATCTAAAAAAATTTTAAAGATTGAATCAAAGAATCACAGAAAATTCGCAATTTTTAGTTCTGGTCTAATTTTTAAGGAAAAGTTATTTAAATTCTCTAGTTCCTTTATTCTTAGTATATTCTATAAAGTATTAAATATACACTGTTCAGTTCAAACCTTAAGAACCATTTAAAAATAATTTGTCCGTAAAAAAAAACACTATACAGGACAAAAGACGGTACAATTTTGCAAATCACACTTTTATGATTTGCCCTGTATTTAAACGATAACTAAAAAATATCTTAATTTGAAATAATACTAATAACAGTTTACCTATGTATTAAAGGAATTTAGTCTTTGCCACAAACTCTGATTTTCTAATCCCTATATCTTTGCAACCCAATGTCGGTAACCTCACATGTTTCAAATTATGAATTCAAGAAATGATTCTTAGATTTCTAAACTAAAGATTTTAAAAAATGGTCTTGTCTTTTTAAATTCCATATCCTATCTCAGATTGTTGAATTGTTCATGTCTCTCTTTAATTTTAAGAATCACTTTAAATTACGTTATAGACAATAATTTTCATTATTAAGATTCGAATCCTTTGTCTTCTTTAATCATATACAGGGTGAGTCAAAAAAAAGTGTGATTTGCAGCGCCTGTTGCAAAATTGTACCTTTTTTGTGCAACTCTCCTGTATGGTGTTCTTTCAATATTTTTTGAAAAGGATTTGAGTCTTTGCCACAAATTCAGTTTTTGTAAAACCTCTATCTTTGCAACCTTATGATGTAAACCTTTAATATTTCAAACTTACATTATTTGATATAACAGAATTCTTAGTTTGAAATATTAAAGGTCTACGACATTGGGTTGCAACGATATTGAAATTAGAAAATCAGAGTTTGTGGAAAAAACTCAATTCCTTTGTATTCTTTTTGGTACTCTAGTGGCCCAAAAGAAAATCCGCGAACCTTTTTTTCTCTCAAACTCAAATGTTCAGAAAAGCAAAAATGTGTATATAAATTATTTCTATCGAAATCTAAAAAAAATTTAAAGATTGAATCAAAGAATCACAGAAAATTCGCAATTTTTAGTTCTGGTCTAATTTTTAAGTAAAAGTTATTTAAATTCTCTAGTTTCTTTATTCTTACTATATTCTGTTCAGTATAAACCTTAAGAACCATTTAAAAACAATTTGTCCGTAAAAAAAAAACACTATACAGGACAAAAGAAGGTACAATTTTGCAAATCACACTATGATTTGCCCTGTATTTAAACGATAATTAAAAAATATCTTAATTTGAAATAATACTAATAACAGTTTACCTATGTATTAAAGGAATTTAGTCTCTGCCACAAACTCTGATTTTCTAATCCCTATATCTTTGCAACCCAATGTCGGTAACCTCACATGTTTCAAATTATGAATTCAAATAGTTTGAAATATCAAAGGTTTAATCCATCAGGTTGCAAAGATATAAAGATTGACAAATTTAATTTTGTAGCAAAGACTAAATTTTTTATCATACTTCATCAGATTCGCGAATTCATTTTCCCCTTTTTTGAAATAAAATAGTTTTTTTTGGCAAGTTTCAAGCAAGAATTTTTTCGGGAAATTGCATGTGTTTAAAAAGAGGGATGTTGCACTCCGAATTTCTAGTAGAATTGTTATCTAGACACATCCTTCAATAATTCATGATGTTTTCCAGGAGAAGGCTCTCTATGATAAAGGGATTGTTCTAAAAAAGAGAGATGTTGCACTCCGAATTTCTAGTAGAATTGTTATCTAGACATATCCTTCAATAATTCATGATGCTTTCCAGGAGAAGGCTCTCTATGATAAAGGGATTGTTCTAAACAAGTCTGAGCCTGCCCATTTTGTGTCTGTGTTTAACAAACAGAAGAAGAGATCGAAGAATCTCTCCAAGTATGCCTACGCTACCCTTCATGCCAGTAGTCTACTAAGCCAACAGTGAGTTTATCTATTCTTCTTTTCCATTTTTGGCACCGGCTGATCTCAACTTAAACTTGAGATATCAAATAAAGGAATCTAGTTTTTGTCACAAACTCAAATTTTCTAATCTCTACATCTTTGTAATCTGATTTTGTAAACTTGTAATATTTTAAACTTAGATTATTTGATCTTACAGAATGCATAGTTTGACATATCTGAGGTCTTCAGAATTGGGTTGCAAAGGTACAAAGATTAGAAAATCAGAGTTGGGGGCAACGTCTTTTAAGTCTTTTCTTCCGGTATGAAGCATTTTCTTAGATGTTTTCTCTACTTTATATGTACAGTAGATATGTTATGATCCAGGTTTATGTTAACGAGGCAGCAGGTTCTCTATGGTCTGGAGAGGGTTGAGCTCCGGAGCACGTCCTTGTTTGATGATTGTCCGCTCCGAAACCGTGAAGCAAGACAGGACGAATGCTCCGGGTTCGCTGCTCTGTTCCGAACTCCAGATGGAACTTGCAACAATTTTCATCATCCAACCTGGGGAGCTTCTTTCACACCTTTCCTCAGGTTCTTGCCTCCGGATTACAGGTTCGAAAAAACTACTTCAAGATTCATTTTAACGTTGAAGAAATTATCGAACTTAGGATTAAAGGAGTTCTCGCGTCAAACTCTAATTTCTCTTCTCTATATCCTTGCATCCTGATGGTAATAACCCTTATAGGAAAAAAAACAAGTGGAGAGTAATCAATTTTCTCTAAAAATAGAAAATATGTTTTTTTAAAGGATTGAATTTCTTTATTTTAAAATTTTAATAATTGGAGTTTCTGATAAAATTAAATTATAAGGAACTTTCGAAATTGATAAATAATAGATTAATAAAATTTTAATGAAAAACACATATAACATTTAAACCAATAACTGATGCTTAACTATTTGCTTATTTCCAACTTGTGCACATAAACATTAAAATTTTTTATAAACAAGAAAATCCTTTTTACTTTTAGTTCAAACTCAAGCAAATCAATGACTTCTGAACGGAAAAAAAATTCTTTATTAAAACAAACAAAAAACTAAGAAGAACTAATTCTAAAAAATACTAGTGATGGTATTGAGGCCTTCAGACGATCAGTATCCAACGGTCCTCTTCCCAATCCTCGTATCATCAGCTCTATGATACACAGGGACGTGAGCAAGGATACAAACCAGTTCACCATGATGGTGATGCAGTGGGGGCAGTTCCTGGATCATGATATAACCTCCACACCTGTCACAAGGTAAACCCACACCATTGACTATTCTATCAATAGTTTTTGTTTGTTCTAAAAACTCAGAACGATCAACACAGTTATGAAAGTTATGCATCAGGTATTGGGACCAGAGCAGGGAACTGTTGTTTTGGATGCTCATAATCCTGAATGTACTCTTGATCTCGAAATCCACTGTGATCACTATTAATTTGCCGATCTGTATCTTTAATTTAGTTATTCCTCCCTTGATCAAAGCCCCCGTCAAACCCTGACTGGGTATAGCCAGATTAACAAAAGATCCAAGATTAAGAATTTGAAAGGAATTTTATGCATAATCTTGATAGGCATCTCTGAGTTTGCATACTTTAGTTCAAAATTAACTCTCAAAATATCGACGGGTTGAAGTAGCACTAATGAAACCGATTAACTTCCCCTATTTACAACTAATATCTTAAAGAATACTTTTAGTACTTTTGCACCATGCCGAATTTAATTTATAATTTACGATCTGGTATGTTGTAGCAGAAACAACCTATTGTATCATATATCTACGTTTCTTGCTCTCAATTCAGCACGTTTTGACAGAATTTATTTTTTGTCTTCATTGATATTGACAAAACTAATCTTGGATTTAGTAAAACTTTTGGTATTTTGATGAAAAACATATCGAAGTTTTTCTAATTTAAAAATTTTCAGAGGATTTAATGAATCTATCCTGAAGTGTTGTTCTCAATCTCCTGAAACCATGCATCCAGACTGCCAACCTATTATGGTAATTCTTTCAAAATATTTAAAAGAAATTTTAAAGCATAATTTATAATTTATAGTTAATAATTTATAGAACTTTAGCGTAGTTTCAAGTATGCAAAAAAAAATGTGGAAGATATCGTCGTTTTTCTGACTCGAAAAGTGTTTAACTCTGATAACTTCTGCAGTGCTTCTTAAAAGCAAGAAATGGACCAGTCACTTTTGCAGAGGAACCACGAATGAAAATAAACTGCAGTTTAAAGAAACAAACACATTGATATCTGATTCTAGCTTAATCAAACAAAGCTTTTAGAAGTACTGTTGTAAATCGGGCATTAACGTCTTTTGCATGGAGAGTAACTTGAAATTACGTTTACAGTTTCCTTTAAGGATTAGTTCGATATATGATAATTGTATGAAATATCAAACTGTAACCACAGTTTTAAAATATAAAACCAGCTTCAAGGTTGATTTATCAATGGAGAATTTATTCTTCAGATTCCAGCAGATGATTCGTTCTACTCCAAGTTTAATGTTTCATGTATGGAATTCGTACGGAGTTCTCCAGGTACTAAATAAGATAGATAGGATAGATATGCTGGACAATTTAAAGAATAGATAGATAGCTAGAATGTGGAACGAATTGATAGAAAGGCCGGAGAACTGAGAAGATAGGATAGAAATGTAGAAAAAATTGAAAGAATGGAGAAATAGGATGATAGGAAAGAAATGTAGCAAGAATTGATAGGTAAAACGCAAAGATTGTTAAATACGATATTTAAGTAAAACAGAATAAATGGGTAAATATAATGTAGATTCCAGTTAAAATATGTAGATAGTAAGCTGATAGGAAAAATAGATCGTAAGATAGGATAAATAAATAGTAAGATAGGATAAATAGATAGTAAGGTAGGATAAATAGATATTAAGATAGGATAAATAGATATTAAGGTAGGATAAATAGATAGTAAGGTAGGATAAATAAATATTAAGATAGGATAAATAAGATAGAATAAATAGATAGTAAGGTAGGATAAATAGACATTAAGGTAGGATTAATAGATAGTAAGATAGAATAAATAAATAGTAAGGTATGAAAATAGATTCTAAGGTAGGATAGATAGACATTAAGGTAGGATAAATAGATAGTAAGGTAGAATAGATAGATAGTAAGATAGGATTAATAGATAGTAAGGTAGGATAAATAGACATTAAGGTAGGATTAACAGATAGTAAGATAGAATAAATAAATAGTAAGGTATGAAAATAGATTCTAAGGTAGGATAAATAGACATTAAGGTAGGATAAATAGATAGTAAGGTAGAATAGATAGATAGTAAGGTAGGATAAATAAATAGTAAGATAGGATAAATAGATAGTAAGGTAGGATAAATAGGTATTAAGATAGGATAAATAGATAGTAAGATAGAATAAATAGATAGTAAGGTAGGATAAATAGACATTAAGGTAGGATAAATAGATATAAGATAGAATAAATAGATAGTAAGGTAGGAAAAATAGATTCTAAGGTAGGATAAATAGACATTAAGGTAGGATAAATAGACATTAAGGTAGGATAAATAGATAGTAAGGTAGAATAAATAGATAGTAAGGTAGGATAAATAGATAGTAAGATAGGATAAATAGATAGTAAGATAGGATAAATATTTAATCAGATAGGATAAATAGATAGTAAGTTAGGATAAATATTAAATCAGATAGGATAAATAGATATTAAGATAAAATCATATATGATAAATAGATGAAAAAAAAATCAAATTCGATTTGTCTTTATAACTAAATTTTGTTTAGGACCCCGTCGTGACTGTTCTCTGGGACCACGTGACCAGATAAACCAGATTACATCCTATATAGACGCATCTAATGTTTACGGGAGTACACCAGATGACCAGCATTCTCTTCGGTTATTAAAAAAAGGTTGGAGATTTTAGCCACACACCCTCTTGAGCTGACAATTTTTGATTTTGTGGATTAGTTTAAATCGGTTCCAACGAGTTGAACGGATGCTCCTCTTTCTCTTGGCGAAAGAGAAAGAAAAAATTGCATTCATTTAAACAAGATTCGAAATATTTTGTCTGAGAATTCGTATCTAATGAAATACTGTTGTACGTTAGAGTAACTAAGAGTAATTTGAATGCCATGAAATAATAACATAATTACAAGTTTTGAAAGTTCAAAAAAAACAAAAAAATTACTGAATTGACCATAAATCTATTATCGAGACAAACCTATGAATAGTATATAAATAGTTCCGTTTAATTCATGCATTTCTTAATTAAAAATTGATTAAAATATTGATTTTTGAAATGATAAAATTATTTAATTTAGCTTCATAACTAAATTCTCAAAAGAATAAACGAAGCAACAGAAATTAATCAATTATTAATCTTTTTGAAAAAAATGAGTATAGCCTAGTTTGAATAGTGATATGACTCATGATTGAATAAAATTCAAAAAAGGTGAAAAATTGTATTAATGTTTATCCTAGGTAAGCTAAAATACACAGATCTCCATATCCGTAAACCCCTCCTTCCTCCTCTGGAGTCCCTGGAAGCTGAGGAAGCATGTCGGATCAAGAGTCCGAACCTGCACTGCTTCCATGCTGGAGATGAACGGGTTAATGAGCAGCCTGGACTAGCAACCATGCACACACTCTGGCTCAGGGAGCATAATAGAGTAGCTGTAGAGATGGGATCATTAAATCCTCATTGGTCTGATGATAGGTAAGGCAGGATAAAAAGGTATTGGGTGCTGCCTCCCATTTCTAGTTACAATCTATCTATTTATAGTTGTGACCATTTCCTCTTCGAAAACGAAATTACCAAATTTTTCGAGTTATTTAATTTTTGTAAACGAATTTTTGAAAGAAAATTTTTGAGTCCTGATCTAAGAAATCATCAGACAAGCCCAAAAGAATGTATAGGATCAATTTTTTATAAAATGCATAGATTGATATTTCGGTTAATACATCTTTTTTTACATTTTATCAGAAACTTGTTTCAGTTGTCATAAAATATTTTGTATTGATAAAAATAGTTAAAGCTTGGATTCATGAAACTCCTGCACTTTTATCTTTAAACAATAAATACCAAACTTTAAATTGATTTGGATGATGCTAAGAATTTTTCCTTTTGTCTGATGATATTGAACCAACTATAAACTTACTTTTTGAAGTTTAAGTTGCAGCAAATATGAATTTAAAGGAATTGAGTCTTTGTCACAAACTCAAATTTTCTAATCCCGATATATTTGCTGCATACTGATGTAAACCTTTGATATTTCAAACTTAGACCATTTAATCTATCATAAATCATAGTTAAAATATCAAAGAGCTAAGACATCGGGTTGGAAAGATAAAGGGTTTAGAAAATCAGAGTTTGTGCCAAGGCTCAATTCCTTTGTAATTTAGAGTGTTTCTTGAGACCCGGAGATTTATTGGTGCAGTTGTTCAGCATATTACATACAATGAGTGGCTCCCTATTATTCTCGGACCAAGGTACGGAAAGTTATTTAAATTTTTCAGGTTGAGCTGGGAACTTTAGAAGCCCGGGATTTAATCCCGACAGAGTCAGAATATCCAATTTTCAATTTTTTACTTAATCCACTCTTTTTCGGATTTAGTACAGAAAAATCAAAAACCGGTTTTTTATCAATAGGGAGTCCCTCACGTTCCTTAAATGGCGCGTCAAATTTAAAATTCACCGGATAATGATACGCGACTCTGATTGGTTGAATATTTTACACTTTTCAGGATACAAGTACTAGATTAGGTTAGTGTCGATATTAAGAAAAAGAGAGGATTAAGCATTGATCTCGATATCCACCATTCTAAAGTTTCCAGCTCAGTTGTATCATGAGTTCAGAAAACTTGACTTGACTTAATCTTCAGAATACTAATGAGTCCAGAAAACTATATTTGAGTTCATGAAACAAAACTTGTTCCAAAAACTGTGTTTAAACAAACATTTTCGTTAAAAAACTTGATTTGGAATTCAGAAAACTAAGATAGAGTTCAGTAAACTAAAACTTTGTTCAGAAAACTAAAATTGAGTTCAGAAACCCCAAACTTAAGTTCAGAAAACTAAAATTGAGTTCAGAAAACTGCACCTAAGTTCTTCAGAACACTAATCTCACTTTGAGCTCTGAAAACGAAAGTTGAGTTGAGATAAAAAAAAAAATAAAAAATTTAAACTCCATTCTTGTGTTTAGGGTTCTTGAGATATTTGAACTAAGACTTCTTCCGCGAGGATATTATAGAGGGTACAACGCCTCCGTCAACCCAACCGTGGCGAACGCTTTCGGCGCTGCAGCATTCAGATTCGGCCATTCATTAGTCAAGAACACAATCAGCAGGTACGCGTGGAATTTGGGGAAAGTAAAAAGCGAAAATATTTTCAAAAAAACATTTTTTAGACTTTTTTTTGCAAATAATTCGTTTGATGTTAGGATTTTGGTAATATATTTATTTACTCTAATATACTAAAATAAGCAAAACTATTGTGTAAGAAAGACTAAAACCAGGATGGGATAGGAGCTAAATAAGAATAAAAAGACTATTTAATAAACCTTGTAACATTTAGATGCAACAAGGAATTTAGAACGGTTCCCTTTCATGTAGATCTTCACAAGGAGATGAATAATCCAAGTAATCTTCATAATTTCGGCTCAGTAGACAGGTATACCCGGAGAAAACAAGGTTTGTATTCTCTAGAATTTAAAAAGGAATTGAGTCTTTGCCACAAAAGCTCAAAGTTTTTAATCCCTATATCTTTGGAACCGAATGTAGCAGCCCTTCTGCCTAAACCTCCTCTTTGAATTATAATGGACCTGCCTGAATCTTCTCTGTAAAATATGATTGACCTGTCTTAATCTTCTCTATAAAATATGATTGACCTGCCTGAATCTTCTCTGTAAAATTTGATTGACCTGCCTGAATCTCCTCTGTGAAATTTGATTGACCTGTCTGAATCTTCTCTGTAAAATTTGATTGACCTGCCTGAATCTCCTCTGTAAAATTTGATTGACCTGCCTGAATCTCCTCTGTGAAATTTGATTGACCTGCCTGAATCTTCTCTGTAAAATATGATTGACCTGCCTGAATCTTCTCTGTAAAATATGATTGACCTGCCTGAATCTTCTCTGTAAAATATGATTGACCTGCCTGAATCTCCTCTGTAAAATAAGATTGACCTGCCTGAATCTTCTCTGTGAAATATGATTGATCTGCCTGAATCTCCTCTGTAAAATAAGATTGACCTGCCTGAATCTTCTCTGTAAAATATGATTGACCTGCCTGAATCTTCTCTGTAAAATATGATTGACCTGCCTGAATCACCTTTGTAAATTATGATTGATCTCCTGAATTTCTAATTTCGATATCTTTGCAACTTAATGTCATAGACCAGTGATATTTCAAACTATGACTTCTGCTGGATCAAACAGCCATAGTTAGAAATATGAAAGGTTTGGACCCAGCGGATTTCAAATTATATTTATAAATTAGACAGTAAAGTTTATTACTATATAGGATACTGCTGAGTTTATGTGATGACAAGATGGCAAGAAGGGACGAATTTATTACTGAGGAGCTAACCAATCGTCTCTTCCAGGTAATCAGGCAGTAGTTGATACATAGCTTACATTCTTCTAATAACAATGACAAAATGTATATCTCTAGCGATTTTGAAAACCCGTTATTTTAAAAACATAGTGTAAAACTTATGTAAAGTTTAACACAGAACTTCGGAGTCATCGAAAGAACTTATAAAATGTCGTCTGGACAATTCTTCATAGGGGTTATTATTATTATACAAAAATCTCAGTAATTGAAAAATAAAGAAATAGTTATAAAATATAAAGAGCTCCTGATAATTATTCAATTAAAAACTAACTTTCCCCAGCATTCCATTATCAGTAGGTTTAGAAAATGACATTTTTGCAATTCTTTCCGTATCTCCGAAATTAAACTGTATAAAATAGCTAAATATTTTGAGACTGAACCCGATATCCATTGCTTAAGCTTCATTGATTTGGACGGGAAAGTTGTCCATCCATATCACCAATTAGGACGTTGAGGTTTAAGCGTCGAGGGGGACTGTAACTTTCTGATTTCATTGAAAGGTTTAATTGATACTAAAGGTCGCCCTTCGGTATTATTCTGACACATTTCATGTTGATGATTTATATGTTTAAACTCTTAGACTCCGAAATCTGGGTTCGGGATGGATCTGATGTCTCTGAACATCCAACGAGGACGGGATCACGGTCTAGCTCCGTATAATATCTGGAGAGAGCAGTGTGGGTTGAAGAGGTTTACAGCCTGGATACAGATGGAAACTGTCATGGAGAAGACCACCGTGAATCGATTAGAAAACGTTTACGAACACGTGGACGATATTGATCTATTCACAGGTCAGTAAAGGTCATCTTCACTTTTTTTAGGTAAAATTAAAAGTATGGCATTCTAATGAAAAATCGTCATTTAAATCCTACAGGAACAAAATCATACTGCAAATATTTATTAAGTTGTCTTAATTTTTCAATATAATACAGGGTGTCCCAAAAAACATGGGAATTAAGTGACGAATTGGATATCGTATTTGTTATGAATTAGCATTGTAATGCCTAATTTCAAAAACCATAATATTATTATGTCTGGTAGAGTTTATTTTATGAAAAGTGTAAAAAACTGTAAAGATGTGTCTATAATGTCTCCGCAAGATGAACAGTGAAGACGGACAAGTTTACTCTGTTTGAATACTGTAATTTTCTTGTTTTACTAAGTACAAGCGTATGCAGTCAAAACATAAACAAACAAAATGTGAATTTAGAAGACGAAACTCTTACAGATTACAGCTTTCTCAGTAGGTATCACTATACTAAATCAAAGAATTATTTGAAAAGACGATATCGAATTCGTCACTGAATTCCCATGTTTATTGGGACACCCTGTAGTAAAGAGTAATTAAGGAAAAAGTTTTAAGACTATTTGTATTCAGGTGGAATGGCCGAGAAACCTGTTGTTGGAGGAATAGTCGGCCCAACCTTCTCCTGTATCCTTGGTCAACAGTTTCTAAACCTGAGGAAGGGAGACAGGTTCTGGTATGAGAACGGAGATCATCCTGGAGCATTTACTCCGTCCCAGCTCCAGGAGATCAGGAAAACTAGCCTAGCCCGGGTTATCTGCGACTGTTTGGATGATATTGATATGCTTCAACCGTTTGCATTCCTTCAACCTGATCAATTTGCGAACCAGAGAACAGTTTGTAAAGGACAAGGTGCTCTATACTTCTATATATATACTTTGCTTGTCTGTCTGTCTGTCTGTCTGTTTATCCGTTTGTATCTAATAAACGCCAAGACAGTTTGGGCCGATCAGTTTGTGTGGGACCTGACATGAACCCACGGAAGGTTTATGGATGCTCAAAATTACAAAATCTTATTTCCTAAAGTTTTTGATTCTTGTGAAACAAAAAAAAAATGTGGAAAAAAATATTATTAAATCCACGAAATTTGATTTTTAATTGTTTATATTGTATAAAGAGAATATGGTAACTGATACAGCCACAGTAAAAAGTTGATTTAGAAGATGGGCGAACCGCGATACTTGAAAACTTTACAGGGTGTTCCAAAAAAGGTTGATTAGGATTTCTGGAGCCCTTTTTTTTGGACTCCACATTAATCCACTTTCCAGTGTTATAACGTCTAATTAAACTGAAATTGTATTTTATGTTTAGGTATTCAAAGAATGAACCTGGATCCCTGGAAGGAAGAACTACCGAAACCTCAACAGTTTAACAGTGAATCCTTGTACCCGGAGCTTGCAGATCTTCTCACAGATCTGTCCCGTACTGGTGGAATAGAGGAGCAGATATTTGCTGATGAGGCTCCAGCTCGTCCTAGTTTCTCCAACCTGGCAACTAATGAGAAGGAAGAAGAGGATGATTTAAAGTTTATAAATGGAGGAGATAATATTCTTCAAATCTTTAGAAAACCTTCAATCGGTAATTTCTGAAAATTAATTATGAAACAGAACTTAGAGTATGAAGGACAAAGGAATTGAGTGTTTGCAGCAAAAATTTTATAATCTTTGCAACCCGATGGTTTAAATATTTGAGATTTCAGACTTATTTTATTTGATCAAACAGAATTCAAAATTTGAAATATTTAAGGTCTACCAAATAGGGTTGCAAAGATATAGGGATGAGAAAATCAGATCTTGTTGCAAAGGCTCATCTCTTTTAATTGACAAAAATAAGACACGATATATATAAGTCTTGAATATAAAAAGCAAAAGTATTAGAGAAGAAATAATTTGTGAAAAACAGATTAAAAAGAATATTTGGGCAAATAACCTTTATTTATTTACTAATTTTTGATAATTAGAGCGAAAACATTGTAATTTTTGATCTTGTTTCCAATTTAAAATACCATTAAGGATTTTATAATTTCGAACGAAAAAGAAAAGACCACAATCTATCCGTTTTTAAATTTTTTTTTATTGCGCGCATTAATTAAAATAAAACAAGATAAAGAGCAAAAATATGAAGAAAAAACTACTCTAGGTTTAGAATCAGACGAGCAATATAATGACGAGCTCCCTAATCAACTGAACCCAGAACAATATTACAGGTTTAATATTTTCAAAATATTTATTATATTCGGTAAAATGCTTTAGTTGAGACACTTGATATCAAGAACATAATCCTCAAATTCTGGTATTTTTCTAGTTTCTTGAAGTTCTAACTAGTGAATTAATTCTATCAATTAGATAAATCCAAAATGGCCTAATTATTCAATTTACCAAGAAACAACGCAGACCACACTTTAAATAGTTTCAAAATTGAAAAATTTTTGGATTTTAATTTAAAGTAATTGAGTCTGACATTCTAATTCGCATATCTTTTTCGCTGACCTTAAACTATGAATTCTGTAAGATCAAATAATCTAAGTTTGAAATATCAAAGGTTTATACCATCAGGTTGCAAAGATATAGAGATCAGAAAATGTTTGTGACTCAATTTCTTTTAAAATTTATTCACTTAAATTACAATTTATAATTCTTTTATCTTATTTTGTTGAAACTCATTTTTATTAAAGATTGAACTGGGCACTGAATGAGGATCGACAAGATCTAAACATGAACCAAGAATCCTCGAGAAATCTCAACTCTAAAACAGACCTGGAAGAGGAACTCCGCCAAATATCATTCCAAGATCTCCTGAATCTCACGTAAACCAGAATATACCGAGGGTAATTGTGAAAACTGTTCTCCGGGTTCCCACGAGGTGAAAATCTAGAAGTAATTAGTGTTGAGAGGTTTCAGGGTCACGGTTCAAGTTTATTACAGTTTATACTCTAACCCAACATAGATAACACAGGACTAGAGGGAAAACGTTGAAAAATCACAGTTTATACAGATAGGGCAGAATATGTTGTTTCTATCAAATTGTTCCAGAATTTTTGTATATTTCAACATGGAATTAAGTTTTTGTCCCTATCTCTGATTTTCTAATTCCTATTTCTTTGCAATCCGATGATATTTCAAACTTTAAAATCTGTAAGATCAAAATGTCAAAAGTTTTCACCATTAGTTTTCAAAGATACATGGATTGTGGAAGATACACAATTCCTTTGTTATGGAATTTGATTTATTTGAACATAAACCCTTTACCCATTTATATTGGATTTTATTTGATTTTCCTTGAAATTTCAAACTGAGATTATCTTATATAATTAGCAAACTCATAGTTTTAAAAATCTGAGGTACAAAACATTGGGTTGCAAAAATTTAGGGATTAGAAAATCAGAGTTTGTGACGAAGACCTTTCGTTTCCAAGATTCTATTAAAATGTGAAAATATATTTCAATTAAATCAATTACCTTTTTATCAAGGTCACCTATAGAATCTCAAAAAGATCATTCGCAGCCAAAGTATTTCTGTGACACATAATAAAAAATGTTTGTTATATTGTTATGAAAGATAATTTTAAACCGAATCTTGCGAAAGATGCAAAAAGACTATACACTATATAATTATCGTTATGGTGAATAAAAAGCAGAAAACCGTAGACTCCTTTCTTGTATACTCAATACTGATTGAATCGATTTTTCTATTTACTTCTGTTATTTCTTACTGTTGCTATTGCTATTACTATTGTTATTTATTTGTTATTTATTTATTAAAGTTATTATTATTTTTGTGTTTTTTATTTTACTGTCTTATTAACATAGTTTTTGTTCTAAGAAAATAATAAATTATTGAATTTGTGATAAATCATAAATCAAATTTATGATAAATTAAATATGATAATAGAGGCTGAAAGGTAATATTTCAGTAATGTTTAACAAAAACAGAGACATAAAATGTAAAAATTATCTTGGTTTTATATTATAACTTGTTTGAAGTTTTTTTTGTTTTTAAATAATTGTAATTGTTGCTCCTAAAAACGACCATTTAAAATCATTTTTCTTTTCGAATTGGTGCATTTTCTTAAACAATTCCAACTATTTTCCAGTATTTTTTTCTCCAATTTTGATGTTCCGTAAACCTTCTCTGGGGTCATGTTAAGGTCCAACAAAAAATGTGAGCCCGCTCGGTTCAGCCGTTTTAACGTTTATCGGTTACAAACACACAAACAAACAGACAGACAGACAAGTAAAGTAGATTAGATATAAGAACCCAACATACGGTGTCATGCAACAACATGGTTAAATATGTAACAAATCCACATAATGTTGGTTTCAAGCAATCTATTACTTCGTTATAAACATATCTAGGTCTAAATTGGGTTTAGAACTAAAGTCAATGTTGGTTTATAGACAAAACACCGACTCTAGGTTTTGGAGAGAATATAAATATTGCCTAATTGTTAAAGGGACTGTAAACGTAATTTCAAGTGTCCGTCCAAGCAAAGATGGCAATGCCCGATTCACAACCGTACTCCTAAAAACTTTGTCTGATAAAATATGATTTATTAATGTTTATATTAATGTTTATAAGTTTAAAAGCAGATTTTATATTCAATTGGAGGTTTTCTACTAAATTGACTGACGCATTTCAACTCCCAGCAACATAAAGGGATTTTCTAAACACTTTTAACCCTGGAAAACCGACTTTTCACGTTATTAATCAGATAAAGGTTTCAAGGGTACCGTTGTGAATCAGTCACTTATAATTACGCTTCATGTTTGATACTTTTGAAAAAAATTAGACTTTTTAAATTGTTCTCGTCAGTAACATAATGGAGGTCACTGGTATTTTGGGACTTACTGCATTCTTTGGCCCTTAATCCTATGATGCAATGTATGATGCAATAATTGATGCAAATAAATTGTGCAAAACCTCCTACGTAGATGCATAATGTTTGCGAATAAACCTGTTTTGACAGTAACAGAATTGGATTATACATGGAAACCTGAATTTCAAATGTTCGATGGAAATTGCCTTTTTTTATAAAAATGTGTAGCTGTTTGGTTTTCCACGTTTTTTAGAATTTTTTATTCACGATATATCACTCTAATTTAACAGTTCTGTCCTTATGCCACAATTTGACCTAAAAAACATAAGTTTTTCGCCTTTTCTTTGTAATAATTTTAGTCTGGTGATGGGTTTTAAATAAAAAATCTATCAAGAAAACTTCGTCAGTTTAAAGATTGTTGAAATAAAGACCAAAATGAGTCCTAACGGATCTCGCCCTGGTAAGTTCAGGGTGATATATGTAATTGTACAAACGAAAAATTCCTGTTCTGACTTCTTCTATCAAAACTTTAATTTCTTGGCAGGTGGTACAAGTTATGAAGGCAAGTGTCATTATCCCTCCCNTATCTAAAACACATTGAAAAAAAATTTTCTCCGCCCTTAATAAAAAACACATTAATAAATGTTTTTTCTCTACCCCTGATAAAAAACACGTTGAAAAAAGTTTTTTATCCACCCTAAATTAAAAACTCATTGATAAATGTTTTTTCTTCTTTTTTAATTAAAACAACATTTATAATTTCTAGAACGTATTTACTCCACATTAATAACCTTTTATTGCGCGATAATTTTACGGATATTATTATCAAAATACTATCAGGAAAGGTTTATGAGATAAACAAAGTGTTTTTTTGTAATTTTGTAATTTAGATTTATGGTTGATACACGAGAGTAGAGGAAGAGGGGGGAGGCAGGACTAGGATTAAACTATTATGAAATAAATATTTTTTGAATAAGAAGAAGAAGAAGAAGAAGAAGAAGAAGAAGAAGAAGATGAAGAAGAAGAAGAAGAATTATAATAATAATAGAAAAGGCAATTTTTCTTATATCTCCTTTAAAATGTTTTATTTCTGTTTTACAATCCGTGAAGGGAGGTAAGAACACTTACAGTATTATATTGGTATCTCTGCACCATCTGAAAGTTCCCTCCCCCCCCTCTCAGATACAAATTTCCCCCTTGGGAATTTCAGACTCAATTTAATTTGGCCTCAAAACTCATTTTTATATTAAATTTGATGGAGGGTAAGCGGGTTTGGATAGCGGGATAATTTGATTACTTGAACTAGAATAGAGTTTTGATTCCACTATTCCACTGCAGAGCTTCAGTTGAAAATTTAAATTTTATTGCTCGATATATTCTATACTATCGGGAGATTTTGTAGACAGATAGATATTTATGGATATAAATACACAGATAGTTATTTATAGATATACATACATATATACGCACATAGATAGTTATTTATAGATATACATACATATATACGTACATGGATAGTTGTTTATAGATATACATACATATATACGCACATGGATAGTTGTTTATAGATAATACATACATATATACGCACATAGATAGTTATTTATAGATAATACATACATATATACGCACATAGATAGTTATTTATAGATAATACATACATATATACGCACATAGATAGTTGTTTATGGATATACATACATATATACGCACATAGATAGTTATTTATAGATATACATACATATATACGTACATGGATAGTTGTTTATAGATATACATACATGTATACGCACATAGATAGTTGTTTATAGATAATACATACATATATACGTACACAGATAGTTGTTTATAGACAATACATACATATATACGCACATGGATAGTTGTTTATAGATATACATCCATATATACGTACATAGATAGTTGTTTATAGATAATACATACTATATACGTACATAGATAGTTATTTATAGATATACATACATATATACGTACATGGATAGTTGTTTATATGTAAAGATACACAGATAGTTAATCAAACTATCTGTGATAAAATGTGTTTATAGATGATGGATATGTGGATATTGGATTGTGGATATTAGATTAGATAATTTAAACAGATATTTATAAACATATGGATGTGAGATTTAATGTCAATGAATATAGAATAGTGAGAAAACAAAAGTTGGTATTTAAAACATGAAGAATATAATTTATACTTATTTGTGAACAAAAAGCATAAAGATTTGTTAGATGTGTCACTTTGTAAATTACAGAATTCATTTGAGAAATATACTGGTAATAATTTCAATTGAAAATATCGTGTTTTCTCTCTTCCATTTAAATCAATTTATTCAGTTGGATAAAAAAGTTTGTGAAAACAAATGAAAGGAGGATATGTTGGGAATAGAAGGGAGGGAGGAGAGGGAGGGAGGAATAACATGTTGGAAATAAGAGATAAGGTAGGGTTGAGAAGTTAGGAATAGAGGAAAGGGAGGAGAGGGAGGGAGGAATAAAATGTTATAAACAATAGATGAGGTAGGGTTAAGAAGTTAGGAATAGAAGGGAGGGAGGAGAGGGAGGGAGGGAGGAATACAATGTTGGAAATAAGAGATGATGTAGTGTTGAGAAGTTAGGAATTGAAAGAATAGAAGTAAGGAAGGATAGGATAAGAATAGAAGGAAGGAAGAAGAGGATAACTGTTTATGAGAAATTTTTGCTTTTAAGGAATATTTCTTGTTTGCTACAATCAATTTATTATCCCATATATCCTTCCATAACCACCCCCCCCCCCCAAGCCCCCTCCTAACCTTGGTTAATTCTAACAGCAAAATGCGACGTATTTTATCCAAGAAATCAAGTCTTCAGAAACATATTGGATAATCGATATGATTGGAATATAAAGGAACAAATAAACCAAATAAAAGGGAAAGTCAGCTTTCCCGAATATCCCTTCGAATTTCTGCGGAGAAAGCTCTCCTTGAATGGTGAAGTGCCGGGTTACAGTGTATTCTCCAACACTTGTGTTTACTCCTTACACCACCGTTCTTATCTCTCAGTGTTTATACGGTCACTGATTCATGGGATACAAGGACTTATAGTTCTCCTTCCGCAGACAATGTTCACGATTAGTTTATTTCTCTCCGTATCTAGTTTCTCATAAACTACTAGTTCAAGGAAGTTTGTGATCTGAATTTGTCAATATTGGAGTTCATTGCGTACGGGTTGCGTACTCAAAATGTAAACACTGCAATGTACAGTCCTTTATTATTATTATTTGAATTCTCTATTTCAGAGTTGAGAATGAATCTTCTTGCATGATTGTTCTGAGATGCTAGAAGATGACAAGGCAGGATATCCTCCAGGGTCTGGATACAGAGCACTTGCTCCCAACCTCTCCTCCTCCGGAGCGGAGAGGTTTCTCCACCTGGTCTCCGGCAGATTACTTTAAACTACTCAATATCACAACAGCGAAGGTAAATAGATTCTGAAAAATTATTAGTTGTGTTGTAACAAATCGAACAGTTCGAGGATCACAGCGTTACAGCTGTATATTACAGCTGTATATTACAGCTGTATATTTGTTTAAGGTTAAAATAAATACTTTTTCATTAATAAAGAACCATATTTTCTAAATTTTCTCAAGCATGCAAGGCAATTTTAACAACAAAAAATGGGAAAAATACGACATAATTCAGTTTTATTCTTGAAAATTTGTTATTATTTAAAAACAAACTTTTATTCAACTTAGAAACCTTTCTGAAACGCACTGTAAATCCCAAACTGTTAGCTGTTAGTAATCCATTAGATTTTAATCGTCGTCCCTGGCTTAACTGTTAAGCGATTAATATATTTTTTAATATTAGGCTCTTGCTTTGATCCTGGTGGGTGGATTCACAGTGTATCATAGTGTACTTCATGCTACATACGATGTAACTCCCTGTAAAGGGTTACTCAAGGATGGGATGTATAAGGTGGGTTTATTAAAAGATAACTCCAGGTAGAGAATATGACTGGAATATTATAACTACTACATGGGGATTTTCAGAAAAATTAAAATGAAATTTGATTTTAATTGTAACCAATTTTTTACTTTTGTAGTTTGTTTTAAAAGAAGTTTCATGCTTTATGCATCATTAAGAATCAAAAGAAATTTGACGAATGATGAATCCTTATTGATTTATTAATTAAAATATATCTTTATGTCATCTTGGATAAGAGAGACGTATTCATTTTCTTGAATTTAGACTCCTCCGTAAAGTCACGAGGGTAGCAACTTAAACTCAGTATTTTTATTTAAAAACAGGTTTTAAACTTTTAACTTTCTTTATATAGAGATGGGGGTCGTTTTTTCTTTCTATTTTAAATATTCAATATTTGCACTTTTCAGGGGCTACGCAAGAATATGAGATTTTATCATTTTTCAAAATTGTTTGCTCGATAAGCTTGCATGTGAATGCAAAATTGTTTGCTCTATGAACTTGCATATGAATGCAAAATTGTTTGCTCTATGAACTTGCATGTGAATGCAANTTTTCTTTCTATTTTAAATATTCAATATTTGCACTTTTCAGGGGCTACGCAAGAATATGAGATTTTATCATTTTTCAAAATTGTTTGCTCGATAAGCTTGCATGTGAATGCAAAAATTTTACACTGACTAATTCAATGTGGCTATTTGATTAACATCTCTTGTAGAGCCTCTAAGAATAAAAATAAAAAGTTTGACTGTTTATAAACGGATCACAAGGATGGCCCTTCCCTGGTTTTAGTATATAATTCTAATTTTTATTTCATTCTAAAAATACATAATCCTGTACTTATGTTTTTTTCCAGTAACATGGAAGCACTACTGTAAGGAGTTTTTTTCTTTCAAGGTCTTACATTAAAGACAACATATTCTGGTTAATGATACTTTTATTCCATTTCAGGGTAACCAGTGGCAGCCCTGGGGATGTATGATGCATAAATATACAAGGACGGATAGTGAGAGATGTTTCAGGTTAGAATTAGTACTTTTTCCTTCCCTTACATGTTCAATCTATATATGAAAATATTCTTTATTTTTTTTCTATGTATGTGTTCTGTCTTTCATATCATTTTGGCTAATTTTGAAAAAATTACAATGGTATGCAGATATGTTTTAGGTGCAACTAATTTCTGGGGGAGGGGGGGGGTGAAGTGAATTTCTTTTCTATAGATAGGTCGGAGGGGGGGGGATGACCTTTGAGGGAAGATAAAAATAAAACTGTTCTAAATTTATCTATATTCATCCAGTAAATGTACACAGGTACAGCAGGTTCTGGGGTAAGAGTAATCATTTTGTATATGTCGGAGATTCAAGGGTTCACCAACTCTACTCAGCTACAAGGTCATATATTCAAAATTAGAATGATTATAAAATATACTTGAAGAGACTTGAAGTAGTTTCAAGTAACTTTTCATTTAAAAAGTGGCATGTCTGATTCACAACTATGTAACCTTTAAACCTTTTTCCTAACCAAATTTTTCTTTTAATCGAATTTGAATTCTTAGAATAGAATTTGAAATGTGTAAAACACTATGAAAACCTTAAATGTTCTTCTCCAGGCTCTGGTTGGAGTCAGGTTCTGAACCCAGCATGCTTAAACCTACAGCAGCTGGTCAACCCTTATCTCACTCAGGTTAATTTGTATATATTAAAAATTTTCATGATTATTACCCCCCCCCCCCCTCCGTCAGTTTGTGGTGTAATTTCACCCCTAGTGAAATAATTTATGACTTTGCTACAACGTTGATTAGCCAGCCTATCAATGAGATATAGACTTGAAATAAATGTCAACATGACTTCAAGAAACCCTTTCATTAAAATCCCATAAACGATTCACAGCAGTCATATTTTAAAAAATACAAACAAATACGTCCAATAAATAATTCTCCGGAGTAAATAGTTCTAATCTTGTAGTTTGGGAGAATTCTGAGCAGAACCTGAAACTTGAATACATCCCAGCTCCGGAGGTTGATACATCTATGCAGCAGGCTCTGGAGAAGTGGGGGAAAGGTTAGGATTTGATTACCGATAATAGTTTTAATCTGATTCCTTGGTAGATCAAGAAAGATTAAACATCTTTCTTGGGGGATGAGGGGGGGAGTTTAAAAAGACTGTTATTTTCTTTTAAATGAACCTAAATTAAAAAAATAAAGAAGGGAATGTCCGATTTACAACGATACCTTTTTAACCTTTATCTGATCAAGAATGTGGGTGATATCTTCGTTGTTAGGCATAGAAAAGTGTTGAATTCTTGCAATTGCCTATATTTTTCTGATTGAACTGGTGGGAATCAGCACCTGACTGAGACCCTAACTCGGACGGCGGTCTGGGGATCTCACGTTGGGGATCTTTCATGATCATTTTCTAATACTAATCAGAAATTGGTATGTCACTTTAATAAAAAATTCCACATTAAAAAAATTCCAGTCGAAAACATGAATATCTAATTGATTCTTGATGATACAAAGCTTTGAAGGGTATTGGTGTGAATTCGACATGTCACTTAATAATTAAAGGATAGCATAAAATTGCGTCTACAGTCCATTTAAGAAAATACCTCTGGGCTGGGAATGGTTGTAGCTACTCTTTTTTTCTTTTATTGCAGTACGCTTATCGTCTTTTTCATTTGTTTCTTTTCATCCTTGGATTGTATTTCAGCATTTAGATTTTATAAAATAAACCGAAATTAAGCTTATTTTTCTCTATTTCATGAATACTACAGCAAGAACCAGACAACTGTGGAATGGAGGGACGATATTAAAGCTATAATTAAGTGGAATTGAGTTTGCTACAAAGCAAATAGTTTTACTAGTAACTTGCTAAACCACTTATTAAGATATTAGAAAACTAGTGTTAAATTACCACCCTGAGCCAGTAAGACTCAAGTTTCCGTTCCTAGGAGATCGAATGGAAGTATGGATGCTCTGGATGAGCATCGGAGAAACCTGACCAGGTTGAAACCAGAACTAGAGAATATCATGGAGTTCGGAGGAACTAAGGTAGAGCAAACCTGTTGAATAAGAAAACTTTTGAACTAAGTGAACTCATCAATTTAATTGGAAAAATTATGTTTAATGACAATTCGAATCTAGAAGGGTATTTTCATATCATCCATAAAAAACTGAAGCATTTACCTAAAAATAATTGTATTTTCTTTCAATTAAGGCATTTTTTGCCATTTTTCATGATAACTGCTCCTTTATATATAGAATTACAAAAAATGTTAAAAACATAAAATTATTAGTTTAAACATGTTTTACTAAACCATTGTTTATTATATTTGTTCTTATAATATAGGTCCTGTGGGCTCTACAGCCTCCGGTTAACTCAGATCTTGTGAACGGGACGGATAAGATAATCACAAACGATCTGATCTGGCAGTTTAATTCTCAGGCCTACCGGGTTCTGGGGAAATCTGATATTCTAGTCTGGTCCAGTCTTTACAGGTTTATTTACTTTATATCCTAGNAATCACAAACGATCTGATCTGGCAGTTTAATTCTCAGGCCTACCGGGTTCTGGGGAAATCTGATATTCTAGTCTGGTCCAGTCTTTACAGGTTTATTTACTTTATATCCTAGTCTGGTTCAGTCTTTACAGATTTCTTTACTTAAAAAATATAAAAAGATTCTTAAAGAGACTTTCGAAGTAATTTTAAGCGACCCAAATTTTAAGAGTTTCATGTCTGATTTACAACAATAATGTAGACATCTAGGTTCTCTTTCTTGAAAAGAGATAATTTTTATAAATTTCTTCCTAGTATCGGCCGCATAAAGTTGCTGTTTTAATCCCAAAATAAAATCAATTGTCAGAAGAAGAAGAAACAATGTGATTGTTATCAAGCAAAGGTTTACATGGTACCGTGTTTATACTCGGGCATGCAATACAGTTCACTTGAATAATGAAGAAAATCTCTTTGTTTAATAATAAAAAAATTAATCAGGATAAAATAATGATAGTTAAACATATCAGGTTGGTTGAGGGAAACCTTGAAGAAATGGTGGACGGATTTCATATCTCAGACCTTGCTCTATCCAAAGCAAACCAAATGATCCTAAACCTTGTCTGTAATGACAACATGAACTTCAACGATGGTTCCTGTTGCAAGAGCAGTGATCATAGAACCTCTCTGCAGACAATTACCTTCTCCATCCTGGCCGGAGCAGTAGGTCTCTCCGTTATCATCATAATCTATCAGTTGGTTACAAGGAGACAGGTTTCTAACAGGTCAACATATTTAGATGCTATATAAGCAAACCAAAATATGAATTAAGCCTAATTTTATTAGGACCTTGCTAGCCTATAGGAGTTACCAAACAAGAACTGGTTGTCGTCTTTATATCTTTTTATTTGAATTGTTGCAATGAACTTGTTATTTGGTAAATTCACTTCTCAAACTTTGGCCTCAACTCCCTGAACATTATAGAAATATGTCAATTTGTAAACAATTACAAATTGCAAAACCCTTAGTAACACAACTGATAAGAGGAAGAGTGAAGACGATATTTATTCAACATGTTTACGGTTAGGAAGAGTGAAGACGATATTTATTCAACATGTTTACGGTTTACACTTTTCTATTCAGATTTTCAGAAAATATAATTATCTTAGCTTAGGCCCATTTGTTCTAGATTAATGATAAAATAACTAACATTTTTGCCAAACTTTTACAGCAAAGGAACATAAATCTTTGCAACCTACTGGTTAAATCTTTGATATAAAAATAAAATTCATAGTTTGAAATATCAAAGGTCAATGAAATCAGGTTGCAAAGATATAAGGCCTATGATATCATAGTTTGTTGCAAGAACTCAGTTCATTAGTTTAAATGTTTCACTAGCTTTTTCTTCATGTTTAAAAATTGTATTTCATTCAGTCGATATCAGTCAAGCCGTCCTGGAAATCTGAGTGTATGCGACCTGCCCAGTAACTCCCTGACCAACCTGATCTTCCCCCTGGCCCGCCTAGCGGTCATCTTGGCCTACTTCTACGTGTGCGACAGGACCAACTTCTTCATGAAGGAGAACAAGTATTTCACCCCAATCAACTTCTGGCTCCCTGTCTTGTACATGATGGTGGTGGGGTTGTTCTTTAACGAAGAGTCCAGCTACACCAGTGTTCTCCACGTGTAAGATAATTATGAGTTTTTTTATATGCGCAGGAAGAAACTTTTTGTAAAATAAAGACAACGTGATTCTCTAGCTTTTTTAAAAACTTCTTCAAGAAATCTAAACATCCAGGGTTACCCAACTATGTACAATGAAAAAAATGAGAATTTCATATTTTCAGGGATCAGACGGATGAATGGAAAGGATGGATGCAGATGGTAATTCTTGTTTATCATATGACTGGAGCAAGTGTATCCATCCCAATATATTTACACATCAGGTAAAGAACAGATAAAAGATCTCATGATAAGATATGATTTGTAACATTGATCTTCTTAAGTTTAAGTAAATAAAATTTTAAAGAATGTATTTCAACTGTTTTTCCCATTTTCGTAAATTATAAATAATTTTTTTTCTCTCAATTTTCTGTATTTGCAGAGTTTTGATCTCCTCCTACTTGTTTCTGGCAGGATACTCACACTTCAACCACTTCTGGATCAAGGGAGTCGGGACAGGTATCTCCAGGATGCTCCAGGTTCTCTTCAGGATGAACTTCCTCACCTTCGTCCTGTGTCTGTGCATGAACCGACCTTATCAATTTTACTTCTTTGTTCCTCTAGTCTCATTTTGGTATTTAGGTGATTATTAAAAACTTTTATTTACATTTCAATTTACGAGATAATTTTTTTAAAATTTATATTTCTGCAGTTTTGTATTGTGTTCTAATTTCTCCTCCTGTTGTGAATAATCAGTGCGTTGAGGGAAACTCAAGCTCAATAACTCAGGTATCAGCTATTTACACTATCCTAGCCGTTGTGGTCGACCTAGAAATTTTTAATTTTTAAACTTTAGTTAATTTCTTTTTAAGTTTCTCTTTATGTATTTTTTTGAATATTAATAAATCAAAAAATACTAAGAATTTATTCCAGACGATACTTATTTAATCTTGAAGTTCTTTTTTTCTAGTATTTGTACGTGGTTCTGAAGTTGGTTGCTCTCGTGGCGGTCATCTCAACCCTGTACATGTCGGAGGTGTTCTTCGAGAAAGTATTTGTCACAAGGCCCTGGAAGGCTCTTTTTGTCACAACAGATGACGACATTCATGAATGGTGGTTCAGGTATTTAAGGTTTATTCTGATGGTTAAAAAAATGATATTTCATTCCACTACCTTAATTTTTTTAATTTTTTTAACTCCCATTACTATCATATTTTAGGTGGAAGTTGGATCGTTACAGTATCGTGTACGGATCTCTCTTCTCCCTTGCAATCATTATTGGCGGGAAACTCAAGCTCTACGATGACAGCAACCACAGCTGTCTATGGCCAAGTGCCATAGCAGGAACAGACGCCATTTTGAAAATATGTTTATTTTTTACAAATTTGTTACATTATCGTACGTGTTATTTTCGTAGATTTTTTCAAGGGTTTATCATGGCGTCTCTTTATCTAGTTCCGGTTAGTATTGCATCCTTGATAGGGCTGGGATCCTACACTATATTCTCCTTCTTCTGCAGGAATAAAGCGGATGGAAACGAGATTCATCCTTACATTTCTTTCGTTCCTATTGTCAGGTAGTTAGGTTATATCTTCTTAGTTGCTTATGATAAAAATCTATGATTTTAACTACTTAGAATTTAAAAATTCCATCAAGAATGTAAGATGAAATTCTGAATAAATTGTTATCAATAATAATTTATATATTTGACACTTATGATATTGTAAATTAAAGTAATTGAGTCTTTGCCACAAACTAAAATTTTTCTAATCCTTATATCTTTTCAATCTGATTGTGTAGACCTTTTGATTTTCAAACTTAGATAATTTGATCTATCAGAATTCATAGTTTGAAGTATCTAAGGTCTACGACATGGGGTTGCTTAGCTATAGGGATTAGAAAATCAGAGTTTGTGACAAAAAACTCAATTCCTTTGTAATCCTTTAGTTTGGTGATTTTGCGCAACATGGCGGGATTTCTCCGTTCAAGATACTCAACGTTCTTCGCTTGGTTTGGAAAAATCAGTATAGAGCTCTTCATTTCACAGGTCTCGAATTGAAACCTTTTTTGGAGTCCAATGTCATCCCCGCCCTTTGTGATTTGATTTGACTTTAAGTGGTTTAAAAAATTAAGATAGTGTCAAAAACAAAACTCTGGTGACAAAAACCATGGACACAAAAAGGAATAAATCCAGCAATTTATAAATGATTTTTATCTTCAGTACCATATTTGGTTGAGTGCAGACTCCCACGGTGTACTGGTCCTGATCCCTAACTATCCTGTGCTCAACATCCTCCTCACCTCCTTCATCTTCGTCGCAGCCTGCCACGAGATTCATCTCATCACTGTACAACTCACTCCATACTTTGTTCCTCCAGGTACCTTAGGCGTAACTAAAGATTTTCCTATGAAAATTATGCTATACAGACCTGGTTGACTTTAAAGTGTCGCCGGGATTGGCACTTGGTTTTACCTTTCCAAATCACTTATATAGCCTTAGAACTTAAGATTTTAAAGTCACAAAATTCTTAAGTTCTAAAGGAGTAATTGACAATATATCCTCATATTCTGGTGCCGTGACAAACTCCTGAAAGACAAACTCCTGAAAGACAAACTCCGGAAAGACAAACTCCTTTGTCTCGTCAGGAGTTTCTCTCGTCAGGAGTTTGTCTTTTCAGGAGTTTGTCTTTCCGGAGTTTGTCTTTCAGGAGTTTGTCTTTCAGGAGTTTGTCACGGCGCCCATATTCTTAAATATTTTCAGGTCAGAATTTGCTCATATCACAGTCCAAAGTGGCTGACGGGAGGGGGGGGCCTCTTTAAAGAAGAGATTTGAAAACCAACCAATTAATTATTTTCAATTTTTAGAACCAATGCTAGCGATACGAAATATTATCGTCTTTGTTCTGATCCTGGTTCCGATTGGAATTCATGACGGCATGTTCTAACTCATACATGTAATATAGATTATGTACATTTATCCTGTACAGTATACATATAATTGATAAATAAACTGTAAACTTAGTTAAGTTATTATTAAATGTAAATAAATATGTAAACATATATTTAAACAAATATTTAACAATAACAATCATAAAAGTGAAAACAAAATGGCAAGTATTATCAACAAGAAATACGATAATAGTATCATGACGGTAACAAAAACACTGACCTCTGTAAAATCATTAAATAATAAATATTCTACAAAATTAAATCTGAATCTACTAAATATATAATTAATATATGGAATAAAGTGATAATATGGAATAGGATATACTTTACTTTCTTTTCATACAAGTTCTCTGGTTCTAAATTTAGTTTAGTTTGAAACCAGGTGTTTAATTACAAGGGGTTTGTCTGTAGTTTAGTTTGAAACCAATTTTCTAATTACAAGGGTTTTGTCTGTAATTTAGTTTGAAACCATTGTCTAATTACAAGGGTTTTGTCTGTAGTTTAGCTTGAAACCAATTGTCTAATTACAAGGGGTTTGTCTGAAGTTTAGCTTGAAACCAATTGTCTAATTACAAGGGTTTTGTCTGCAGTTTAGTTTGAAACCAGGTGTTTAATTACAAGGGGTTTGACTGTAGTTTAGTTTGAAACCATTGTCTAATTACAAGGGTTTTGTCTGTAGTTTAGTTAAAAAACAATTGTCTAATTACAAGGGGCTTGTCTGTGGTTTAGTTAGAAAACAATTGTCTAATTACAAGGGTTTTGTCTGAAGTTTAGCTTGAAACCAATTGTCTAATTTCAAGGGTTTTGTCTGTAGTTTAGCTTATAACCAATTGTCTAATTACAAGGGTTTTGTCTGAAGTTTAGCTTAAATCCTCTATTCTTCGTATCCGTTACAACTGCATTAGCTCCAGTTCCGCCTAAACATTGGTATTTTAAGTAAAACTAGTTTCAAATAAATTCTCCTGCAAGGATTAATAAACTAAAGTGAGGGGGGGGGGAGTGTATACATTCTACTCTGACGTATTAGGACAGCTCCAGATATCATTGAATTGCAAAAACCAGTCNATGGGAGAAATCTATTAGTATTGTGCCTTTAACAAATTTATGAATTATATTTATAAAAGAGTTGTTGGTATAGATTTCGTATATGATATCGTTTAAATTTAGGAAAATTAAAATACAAGGTATTTATTTAGGAAAATAATAAAATACATATATGGAAAAATAAAATATAAAGGTTTAGATTTTGGAAAATTAAGAATATTGTAAATAATTCTACCTTGAGATAAGGATTCACTGTTATCTGTGACAACTCCCAAAGTGAATGGAGTAGTATATGATCTAAATAATAATAACCTGTTAAAAAAATCATAATTATTTTTCCTAATGTTGCTTGACTTTACAAAAAAAGAGAAATAGGTGTTTAAACCTCTGATATTGAAAGTTAAATTATTGTAGTAAGGTCTCTAGATGAAATATATTAGAATATATTAGAATAGGCGTGTCAAAATATATGATCGAAGATAACCAAATCATCAAGAACGGTTTACTGTGTTTTTAAGTCATCTTCCTATCTAACTTTATTTAACAATTTATCTATTTATCGTCAAAGAATAATCATTGATCATCAACCCGTTTCAAGATTCAAGTTTGCCTTAACAGTGTAAAAAGTACGCTTAATTGTTGTCCCGTCAGTCTTAATCAATAATTCAAACTCTTTAATGTAAAGTTTCTGAATTCTCGACTCGTCTATCCGGTTTCAAGTTTACCTCACAGCTCCCAGGACCTTAGTTGTACAAGAGAGCTGGTTACAGTAACCCAGAGCTTGTCCACAGTACCTGGATAGTATTATTATTATTATCAATATTATTATTATCAATTTTATTATTATAGAGGACGTGAGTCAGACTCTAATAAAACGCATAAATAACTTCCAGTATATATATATTTCTTATAACTTATTACTAGAGGGTTCAGAACTAGAGTCAATATCGATATCGCACGTGTAGACTGTAGAGATGATATCATAAATAAAGAAGGGAATGTCCGATTTACAACGATACCTTTTTAACCTTTATCTGATCAAGAATGTGGGTGATATCTTCGTTGATAGGGATAGAAAAGTGTTGAATTCTTGCAATTGCCTCTATTTTTCTGATTGAACTGGTGGGAATCAGCACCTGACTGAGACCCTTACTCGGACGGCGGTCTGGGGATCTCACGTTGGGGATTTTTTTCTAATACTAATCAGAAGTTGGTATGTCACTTTTAAAAAAATTTCCACATTAAAAAAATTCCAGTCGAAAACATGAATATCTAATTGATTCTTGATGATACAAAGCTTTGAAGTGTATTGGTGTGAATTCGACATGTCACTTAATAATTAAAGGATAGCATAAAATTGCGTCTAAAGTCCATTTAAGAAAATAGCTCTGGGTTGAGAATGGTTGTAGCTACTCTTATTTTTTCTTTTCTTTTATTGCAGTACGCTTATCGTCTCCGTTCATTGGGAGTATTTAAAGTCAACTTGAGTCCAAAAGTCGTCATCCTATTTCAGAGTTTTCTGGTTTTCACTTTATTCATATAAAGATAAAACTAGAACAGATCACCTGAACAAAAGTTTATGATTAAGTACATGAAGCCCATGTTCTCTAGTACACTGCATTCCATTTATTTCAACACAAAAGTAAGAAGACGACTTTTCTCCAGGTGCTGGTCCTACTGTGCTGATAATCGGAGCTGGAGCTGAAACAATCAGGTAGAAAACTAGTGTTAAATTACCACCCTGAGCCAGTAAGACTCAAGTTTCCGTCCCTAGGAGATCGAATGGAAGTATGGATGCTCTGGATGAGCACCGGAGAAACCTGACCAGGTTGAAACCAGAACTAGAGAATATCATGGAGTTCGGAGGAACTAAGGTAGAGCGAACTTGTTGATCAAGAAAACTTGAACTAAGTGAATTCATCAATTTAATTGGACTAATTATGTTTTATGAAAATTAGAATCTAGAATGGTATTTTCATATCATCCAAAAAAAGATCTTTCTGGTATTTCTGAACTTCAATTGTTTAAACCTTAATTAGTTCAAGTTCAACTCATATCTATATATAAATTTGGCTTGTCTGGGTGTCTGTCTGTCTGTTTGTTTGTTTGTTTCTTTGTATCCAATAAACGTCAAAACGGCTGAACCGATCGGGCCCAAATTTTTTGTGGGACATCTAGGGACCCCAGGGAAGGTTTATGAAAAATAAAAATTTCAAATATTTGTCATTATTATTATTATTATTATCATTATTATTATTATCATTATTTTTATTATTATCATTAACCTTATTACCTATCTCTACTGTACAATCTGTTATTAAGATCTGTTCCTCCCCATCCCTCTGGGATCAGAACATAATCCGTCCTACAGTCCGTATCCCCAACCTATGGTCAAAAATCAGTTTTTTATCAAAAAGATCATCAAGTACCTGACAATCTATTTGGTTTCATGAACATTGTAGGCTAGGGTAGAAATTGATCATAATAACTTTAGTATTCGACGGTCTAACCTTTCTCCGTTTGAGATGTTGAAAATACAATAAAAAAATCAACAACTTTATTTTTTAAGTCAGAATCTCACTTAAAGGGACTGTAAGCGTAATCTCAAGTGACCCTCCATGCAAAGATGACAATGCCCGATTTACAACGAAACTCTAAAATCCGTTGTCTGGTCAAAATGAACTAAAACTCCGTATGTTTGTGTTTAAAACTGTTTATTTTGATTTGTGGTTTCAAGATGACTTTCACATTTCTTGCATACAAAAAACAAGGGAAATTATCAGAAATAAACCCTTTTCGAGTCAGAAAAACGACCTATCTTTAACATTTTTGATCAGATTTAGGTTTCAAGGGTACCGTTGTAAATCGGGCATTGCCGTCATGGAAGGTTACTTGAAATTACGTTTATAGTCCCTTTAAGCAAGGTTAAAATTATAAAGAAAAGGCGTTTTATTAAGTGGTATATACTAAATACTATATAGGATTAGGGTGTATCTTTTTTATTACTTCATTAATAGTTTACCCTGACATCTGTTTGTGAAAGTATCCCTGTTTGCTCTGTCCCGGTGAGAGAAAAGTATCCGTTCTGAGTAGAGTAGGGAGACGGAGTGCTCCATTCTATTGAACAATATCCACTCTCACGTCTTCAAAAAAACAGAATTAGAATAGGAAATTGAACAAAAAAAATTACATTTGTTTAAAAGAGATAAAACATGAACTTTAAATATTTGGATTCTGTTTTAACACTTTGATTTTCTTTCAATTTGGATGTAATCACTGTGATCTAAGGTCAAAATATATCTAACTTGATACATTTACACTGCAAACTAAGTTTAAAATTTCCCAAATCTGACACAAACACTGCAAACTAAGTCTAAAATGTTCCAAACCTGATAAATACACTGCAAACTAAGATTAAAATGTTCCGAATCTGATTCAAACACTGCAAACTAAGATTAAAATGTTCCGAATCTGATTCAAACACTGCAAACTAAGTTTAAAATGTTCCAAATCTGATTCAAACACTGCAAGCTAAGTTTTAAATGTTCCAAATTTCGTGCAAACACTGCAAACTAAGTTGTGAATATTCCAAATCTCGTGCAAACACTGCAAACTAAGTTTAAAATTTCCCAAACCTGATACAAACACTGCAAACTAAGTTTAAAATGTTCCAAATCTGATGCAAACACTGCAAACTAAGTTTAAAACTTTCCGAATCTGGTGCAAACACCTCAAACTAAGTATAAAAGGTTTCATTTCTGATAAAAACCACTACAAACTAAGTTTAAAATGTTCCAAATCTGGTGCAAACACTGTAAACCAAGTATTAACTGTTCTGAATCTGGGGCAAGCACTGCAAACTAAGATTCAAATGTTCTGAATCTGGTGAAAACACTATAAACTAAGATTAAAATGACCGAACCCCTATATAATGCAAACCTGATACAAACACTGTAGTCTAAGTTTGCCATATGATTGGAGAGAGTATTGCCCTGATTGGAGACAGTAGAGGTAACGCCCATACTGTTATCTGTGAGCTTCCAGTTGAAACTGGAAACATTTCCAGATATCCCTGTATAGTACTGGAGACATCCTTCCGGAGCAAGAGCAGGAGAAAAGCACGAGAACTGGGAGATCTTGATTCTCCATCTACGGGTCAACCCAGCCCCTCCGGATATTGCAACCTGTGAAGAAAACTACTTTTAAAAAAATTGTTCCGCCTAACACTTTTAATGAGTTAACAAATGACGCGTCTTAATATTTTGATTAGTTTAATTAAATCACATTGCTATATAAGTTATTTTTACAAGAAATTGATCCTCAAGCAAAATCATTATTAGTGTTTTCAGAAACAGCATACGATCTTTCTGTCCTAGTTTTCTCAAAAAGTTAATCCAACTTATTGAAACCTTTCCCCCTGTTTATCTACCTATACCTATATACCTTTCTCCCTGTCAAACCTGTACCTACATACCTTTCTTCCTGTCAACCTGTCTACCTAGCAACCTTTATACCTGGCTTCCTGTTAACCTGTCTACCTACCTAAATACCTAGTTACCTGTCAACCTGGCTTTCTGTACCTGATTATCTACAACTATGGAGAGTCTGGCCGGAAAGCTAGGTATAGCCGTATAGATGAGATGTTGACCGGAATTAGTTCCACAGATAGTTGGCATCTGCCCGCTGTTAGATATTCCACCAGACAGCTAAAATTACAGATGTAATATCTATGATAAAAGTATATAATGATAACAAAAATATTAAAAATCATGAATAATGCTGTAGGATAAAGAATAAGTAACTTTTATTTTATGCAAACCTGAAGATAATCAATCCTGCAGTTTCCGGATTCATCTGGATCCATGAGAACTAGTTCCTCCAGATCCAATCTAACCTAAAGTAATTTAGTGAGCACCTGGATACATGAGAACTAGTTACTCCAGATCCAACCTAGCCTAAAATAAATATGTTTAGTGAGCACCAGGATCCATGAGAAGTAGTTTCTCCAGATCCATCCTAACCTAAAGTAATTTAGTGAGCACCTGGATACATGAGAACTAGTTACTTCAGATCTAACCTAACCTAAAGTAACAATAGTGAGCATCTGGATCCATGAGAACTAGTTGATCCAACCTAACCTAAAGTAACAGTAGTGAGCATCTGGATCCATGAGAACTATAGTTGATCCAACCTAACCTAAAGTAACAGTAGTGAGCATCTGGATCCATTAGAACTATAGTTGATCCAACCTAACCTAATGTAACAGTAGTGAGCGTCTGAATCCTAGAGAACTAGTCCCTCTAGATCCAACATAACCTAAACATGAAATAAGATCTGTCCTGAACCATAAAAGATGTGAGAATAGGGAATCTGGAAAAAAATAAGATTTGTAATAAATCTTCAGAATGAAATAAAATGGAATCATGACATGAAATCGGTCCTAAGAATTCATAAGAATTAAGAATAAATCTGATGTTATCTAATCATAAAAATGAATATATCGAACCTGACAGATATCCTCGTCTCTAGGTCTAATCATGATACTGCAGACCGAGGATATTGCTGCTGGAGAGGAGAAGTAGGTTCCATTCTCCGAGGTCTCTGAGTTACATGGAGTATTGAAGAGACAACAGACTCCGAACCCTCCTGCACAGGAACCTTTACTCTGTCCTTGTCTTCTATCACATTCATATTGAGTATAACATGTTCCAGCAACTCCTAAAATAGATTTCGTATTCAATCTTAGGTTATCTATGGAGTACAGTTGATAGGGTAGAGGTCAAGATCTTATAAACACATAGAGAATAGATTATATTCTCTGATCTGTGTATAAACACTAATCTATCATGATGTCTCCGACTAAACTCAAGCTAGAAAACACATAGAGAATAGATTATATTCTCTGTTCTGTGTATAAACACTAATCTCTTATTTTTACGCACAAATATATCATGATGTCTCCGACTAAACTCAAGCTAGAAAACACATAGAGAATATATCATATTCTCTGATCTGTGTATAAACACTAATCTATCATGATGTCTCCGACTAAACTCAATCTAGAAAAAATTGTTTATCAGTCTTGAAAAGTCAGGGTTATCAAAATTATAATTTTTGATGAAGAAATGGTTTGTGAAGGACTAAGATCTGAGAAGAATGTTTTCTAGAGCTTCTTGAAGGGACTATATGCGTAATTTTAAGTGACTTTCCACTTCAGAGATGACAGTGTCAGATTAACAACGGTACCATAAAACTGTTTCTGATCATTTATGATTAAGATATTAATGTTTATAACTTTAAAAACGGATACTTTTCAACTGTGGTTTCTCTGCAAAATTGACTTGCGCATTTCTATTGAAGGAAATCGTACTGGAATTAACAGAATTAAACGCTTTTTAACCTAGAAAAACTGCAACATCTTTTCATATTATTGATTATATTAAGGTTTCAAGGATACTGTTAATCTGATAAACTGGGCATATTGCCATCTTTATATGCAGGGTCACTTGAAATTATGCTTATCGTCCCTTTAAGTTTTATTTATATATGTACAATGTACTGCAGTGTACAACGTACCTGTATCTGTTGGGCACTCTGTATTAGGAAATTGAACAACAGAAAATATAGAGAGAGGATTGATAAATCTGTTGCTGGATTCATAGGTTCTATTGTTTACAGTCTTGGGATAATCAAAGAGACGTGGAGCATCCTCTCCTGGTCCAACAGGACGTACTTCTCCTCCAGGATATCCTAGACCTTGTCTAGAAACGGATCTCAGCTCATCTTCTGGTTCAAGATGAGGAACTTTCTAGATATAAAGGGAATAAAAAGGTTAGCGAATTGAATTTGACACATTTTTCAGATAGGGTGTCTCCAAATCATATTGGAACGTGCAAAGCTATAAATTGGGACCTTAGAAAATTTTCGAACATTGTTATGTTTATATCTGAACGCATTTTTCTGTTCCATATATAATCACATTATTCTTCCATTCTTATTTGGTTAAAAGCTGGTGCAAAGACAAAACCTGTTTAATTAAAAAAAACATGTTTGTATAAGCTTCGATGTTGATTTATCTAACCCGCAAATCTTTTATTGCATGTAGAGTATGTTTCGAGTACCATAAGGTTTCGAGTATACCTAAGGTTTCGAGTACCATAAGGTTTCGAGTATACCTAAGGTTTCGAGTACCATAAGGCTTCGAGTACCATTAGGATCGGAAATTAAGTAATACGTCTTTGAGTACTACTATTATATATGTTTAAATGTTTACATGTTCAAAGAGTTCCAAAATGAAATTCATTTACGAAGGTAAAACATGGTAATTGTAAACCAGGAATTAGGAAGAAAATAGATAAAATGGCAAGCACAATTTACTACCTTGATTTTTCTGAGCACTTTTTTGCCTCTTCTTTCTTCAGACGAACTAAAATTTAATTTTTAATTTATATTTGCTTTGTCTGAAGTAATTGAACAGGTTGGGCCTTAATTTTTTTTATAGAAAATTCTTGAACTTTTTGTAAATGTCTTCTTAATTTTTTTTGGAGGGGGGGGAGGTGAGTTTAAAAATTATCGGTGTAAATCTTCAAACTCAAAGATCCAATTAATTTAGCCGGTTTTTAAATTACGAGTTCAACTTTTCCCACCATCTCGCTTACATTGTTAAAAACCATCGTAAATATAAATACAGGATATAAGTGTATTAAGTACTGGGTTACCCAGAAATTATAAGACTTCCAAGACGACTTTAAGGAATTTATAAGGTCTTTTTTTCTAATTTCTACAGAAAATCCTTCAGTTTGCACCTATAAAAGACTCATTCATGAGCGAAGACTAAATTTTATCAAAAGATCATCGGAATTAAAGAGTTTTAGGTCGTCATTGAAGTCTCATGCGAAATCCATAATATTTTCTTTTGTTAAGATATTATATGATTTACCCCATCTGAGCAGAGACCTCTAGAGAATATAAGACAAGGAGAAGAACCCGTCCCACCATCATATCTTAGTCAACTGAACCTCACACCTCCGTAGAACTCATCTTTACGGTTCAGAGACTTGATCAATCTTACAGTCTAGGAGAATACATGAAGATATCATAGTTTAGAAACTACTGGTGTATTCTACAGTCTATGAGAATACATGAAGATATCATAGTTTAGAAACTACTGGTGTATTCTGCAGTCTAGGAGAATACATGAAGATATCATAGTTTAGAAACTACTGGTGTATTCTACAGTCTATGAGAATACATGAAGATATCATAGTTTAGAAACTACTGGTGTATTCTAAAGTCTAGGAGAATACGAGATATAATAGTTAGAAACTACTGGTGTATTCTACAGTCTAGGAGAATACATGAAGATATCATAGTTTAGAAACTACTGGTGTATTTTACAGTCTGTTAGAATACAAATAACATCTTCTGAACTATAACTTGTGTATTCTAAAGTCTGGGAGAACTATTGGAGGAAATATGAATCTAGGAGAATACTGGGACGAAATATTCAGTCTAGGAGAATACTGGGAGGGTATATACAGTCTACGAGAATACTGGGGGAAATCATCATAGCGATAACATCTTTGTACATTTATTTCAATGGAAATTTTCCCAGACTGTAAATATTTGACCTTGAGGTTAAGTTATCAATATTTAGATTTTAGGTATATCCGCTTATTATCTCATAATACAGGAAGAGAGAGAGAGAGATCTCAACCGGAACCATATTCTCCGGGTTCCTTCTCAACTCTCTCAACCAGGTGTGAAGAGGTTGAATACGAATCCAGATTGGATCTATATATGTTTATGTCAATGAAAAGGTTTCTGTCAATTGACCCTCTCATCGTTGATCGTATATTTCCATGCCACTTCACTAGTTTTAAGTGTATATATTCACTGTTTAAGTTTTAGGGGTATAATTAACTGTTTTGAAGTTTTCTAGAGATATTAAATATTAATAAAATTTTAAATTTTTTTATATATTTTCTTCTAAATTCAATCTTTTTAATCTAAAATTTCTGCTACCAATTGTGCAATTAAATAACTTTTATAATTTTTTAAATTTCAGCTAACAAAGTTACAACTAACCACTTTTGAGAGCATGGATATAGCATTTAAAATTGAATTCATAATAAATAAGAAAGGGATTGAAGGATAACTTTAAAAGAGAAGTATACGGATAAAGAACTCCGGAAAGGCAATCTAAAAAAATAGGATGAACTGTTGAAAATGAGGAAAAATGTAAAATATGTACAAATTACATTTAAAATATTTTATTTAAGTAAAATTCCACAGGAATCGAGTATTTGCCACAAATTCTGATTTTCTATTTCCGATATCCACACTGTCGAAGACCCAAGATATTTCAAACTATGAATTCTGTGTTAGATCAAATATTCTAATTTTGAAATATGAAAGGTTTACACTACCAGGTTGCAAAGATGTAGGGATTAGACAATTAGAGTTTGTTGCAAAGACTCATTTCCTTTACATATTTAGATAGTTTGACGAAGGTCGGAACTAAAATATTTCCCTATTTCAGTTGGTTCTACCGTAAATAATTGAATTCAACAATAGGAGGCATATCTATCAGAGGGAGTTACAATAGAACCTATAATTAGGATGGGGGGGGGGTTTCAAGAATAGATGTAAACGGTTCAAAGAATTTCGAGGCCAATTAATCAAAAAAAAATATTTGTAAAACGTGTAAAGATATTCCTCTGCGAGAACATTTAATAGGATATATGTCAATTAAAAGATGTGAATAACACATACCACTCAACGCTCCACTAACAGAAGGAGAAGGTTAAATTCATACCACATTATACTACAACTTTGTGACCTCCTAGAACCTTTAATTTTAATTTTATGCACACGTACGACAGTTAGGATTGAAAACGTGTAAAATTTCAAAATAATGTGAAATTAACTTTAATTTAACGTTGCGCTCTTAGATACATTTTTTAAAAGTACGTTTAAATTTGAAAGAGAGATAAGGTATATATATATGCATATACATATAGACTTAATAAAAGAAAAGATACAAGAGCAGTGAGCCTTCAAACCAGCCGAATTACATGTTAACTATAAAATTGTAAAATTATTAGATTATATTATATTTTGTTATGATGTTTGTTGTGTTTCTTAGTTTTATAGTTTTTTTCTACTTTTCGTTTACCTCTATACATGATGGAATTACTTTCTAATCTTGATCAGATCATTTATTTTTTTTACAATTGTACAAACTGTTCTGAAGTTACGAATTCTTCAACCCCAACCCTAGATCTGACCACCACCATTCATAAAATTCAAACTTATATTCAGTTTCTTTGGTGGAGTAAAAGCAAGGTATTACATTTAAAATCTGTTTATTTGTTTTTGTTGATATATTGTTAATTTTATCTTTTAATTCTTTTAAATTTTAAACATCTATTATTCAAGCTTCTTATTTTGTATGTTTTTTAGAATATGCCCTGAAGATGGTTAAATAAACCGAAAATTTGGCAAAAAGAGTTTTTGTTTCACGGATCTCAGAGTGTTAGATTTAGAAGAATTATATATATAAATATCTGTATTTAACTTCACATTTTTATTTTACCAAGAAATATACTATATACTTTGGCAGCATTATTTAGTAAGAAATCTTTGATCAATTCATATAATACATATATATGTATTATACTTATATATATTTCTGTATTCAACTTCACATTTTTATTTTACAAAGAAATATACTATATACTTTGGCAGCAATCTTCGGTAACAGAATCTTTGATAAATTTATGTATAGATAGGTATATATATTTACATCTTTCTGTATTCAACTTCACATTTTTATTTAGATTTTAATGTGGGTTTTAAGAGTAACAGTTTTAAGAATTTATAGATTTTGGGTCAGGTGTTCAAGGAGCACCGGACCCGTGCGGGGATTTTTTCCTCCTAAAACAAGGGCGGAAAAAATCCCCCGACATTGGCCGGGCCCGGTGCTCTTTGACAAAGGCACACCTGCATAGAGACCAATTGCCCTTCTTCACTCCATTTTTTTTTTTTTTTAACAATTGGATTATTGCAAATTCTTTACCAACAATTTTTTTCCCCAAACTTAAAAAAAGAAATTAACTTAATTCATTATTTAAGAAAAAGTTAAAATTCATATTATAAATTTTTTTTTCAGGTGATTTCGGAAAAACTCAACAGGAAAAATTAAACCTTAGGCTGAATATGTTAATTTTATTTGACTTCTAAAAATTCTAGTTTCATAATATTGTAACCACCCCCCACCTCCCTCACTCTAAGGGGTTGTGTAGAACACACCCCCCCCACCCTCCCCCTCACCCCTGTTTTATATAAATTAATCAAAAATGATTACTCTGCAGTCTGCATAGTAAAATTCTAGATTCTAAAATATTAAAAGTTTAAGAATATGATAGATTGTAGGAATAGAATGGATTTAAGATCATGTTTTAGGAAAAGAAAAGATTAAAAAAGAAAAGATAGGTTTTTTGATATAAGACAGATATATTAGGATAGATTTATTTAAGGAATAAGATAGATCTATATAAGAGTAGAATAGTTTCAAGAAATATGATATAGATAAAAGGAAAAGGGAAAATCAAAAGAATAGGATACTATGGATAGAAATAAAGATTAGGATAGATGTTAGAAACAGGATAGATGTAAGGAATAGGATAGATGTAAGAAATATGATAGATCTAAGGAATAAGATAGATCTAAGGAATAGGATAGATCTATAAGGAATAAGATAGATGTAAGGAATAGGATAGATGTAAGAAATATGATAGATCTAAGGAATAAGATAGATCTAAGGAATAGGATAGATCTAAGGATTAGGATAGATGTAAGGAATATGATAGATCTAAGGAATAGGTTAAATATAAGGAATATGATAGGAATAGGATATATTTCATGAATAGGATGATGTAAGGAAAAGGAAAGCTCAAAGGAAAAGGATAGAAATAAAGATTAGGATAGATGTTAGAAACAGGATAGATGTAAGGAATAGGATAAATATAAGAAATATGAAAGATCTAAGGAAAAGGATAGATCTAAGAAATAGGATAGATGTAAGAAACAGAATAGATGTAAGGAATAGGATAGAAACAGGATATAAATACAGAATAGGATAGATGTAAGAAACAGAATAGATGTAAGGAATAGGATAGTTGCAAGAAATAGGAAAGATCTAAGGAATAGGAGAGATATAAGGAGTAGGATGGATGTAAGGAATAGGATAGATGTAAAAAACAGGATAGATTTCATGAATAGGATAGATGTAAGAAAAAGGATAGATGTAAGAAACTGGATAGATGTAAGGAATAGGATATAAATACAGATTAGGATAGATGTAATTGAAACAGCTGAGAGATGTAAGGAATAGGATAGATGTAAGAGCTATGATAGATCTAAGGAATAGGATAAATGTAAGAATTAGATAGATTTAAGGAACAGGATAGATTTCATGAATGGTATATGTGTGGGTGTAGTGGATAGACGTTAGGAAGAGGATAGGTGTAAGAAACAGGAAAGATTTATTTATAAAATAGGATATTCAAGAATTATATTTGTGGAAATATTGAAAATGAGAAAATTACCTAAATAGAATAGATTTTAGGATAAGGGTGGATTTTAGGTTATATTTTGTTTTAGGAAAGGGGCGTATAAGGAAATGGTTAAAAATATATAGGATTAATATAAGAAAATAAGTATTCAAAACATGATTTTAAGTTTTATAATTGTATCAACATTATGTTTTTATTTGATATTTTCGGAAATTGAATGTTAGTTCATTTCAGGATTGAAATTACAATAATAAAAACCCACTGAAACCTATAAATTTATTGATCCAGGGGGGGGGGCTGAGCCCACAAAGCCCCCCCCCCTGAATTCGCCTCTGCCTTTAGGATAAGTCGCGACCATAAGTGAAACACGAGTTAAATAACACTCAAACAAGACATTATTATATATTTCCCGATTAATTTTTAGGTTCGATGAACACCATGGAAAGGCAACTTAAATTTAAAGTTTCAATACACATTGTTTTTATAACTATATTAATTTATTAATATTAAGATCTTTTGATGTATTCTTTTTTTTTCTCATTTTGGTTTCTTACTTTAGACAGAGCACGGGACACCCTGTATTATTTTCTATCTTTCTCCCGGAAGTTGATAGGTAAATATCCAAACCAAATATATTCTATATAAGTGTACATTTTCAGAACCGGAAATCTCGTCAGAGCCCAGAACACAGTCCTAGAGAGTCCACGAGTGTTTCAGATGTTTTTGAATACGTTCGAATTTCACAGTGATTAAAGTGGTGTAATTTTTCCAGAAATAGTGTTTATTTTTTATACTATGTTGTCGTTGCTGTTTATTCGAGTTTTGTTTTAAAACGTCGGAAAATGTTGACTCTTTCGCTGAAATATGACCTTACTAACGAAAGCTGTCCGTGTTTGAAGTGTTTGAAAGTATAATTGCTAATGTTTTTTATTTAAGCGAATTTATTTCAATTTACTTTAGTAAATTTGAACTCGTAAATAAGCTTGCTGCCCTTAATGGAGGGTTTACACAAAGCTTAAAATTGATGGATCTGTGACGTCACATGTGCGTGGTGCAGTTTTGACGCTGTTTGTGTTGTTAATGGTTTTTCAACTATGCTATCGAAACGAACCAGTTTTGTCATTGTGCCACGGGTTAATAATGTAATTGTTATGATTTTGTTCCGCATATTTTTGCAAAAATATCTTTTAATCTTGGTAATTTCGTAGCATAGGATTCTGCCCCACCCCCTCCTATCAGTTTTGTACATGGATCCCATATGTAACACATGATTATTATTGGCTATGTGGCCGATGTGGCCGGCTCCTAGCCTCAGCCGCGGTGCCCGGCCCCTAACCTGACATAGTGGCAGCGCTCGGCCATAAATTGTCTTAACTTAACTCTAAATAATATTACATAAATAATAATAATTTTGCTGATAATTAGGGATAATGAACTAAACTGATAGGCAAGGGGGGGGGGGGCCCCTAAATCTTCCGTTAACGGGTTTAAATTTAAACACTTAGGTTTAGTTTAAAGGCTAATTGAATTTTGTTCATTCCTCTTCCTTGAAGAGTATTTGTTTAAAACAATGCACTAAGTCTTGAAATTGTACTTTCCCCATGTATTATTAAAGATCACGCAACAGTCTTGCTTTTAAGGTTTTATTTTACGAAATAACTGTTACAGATAAATTTAGCACTACCGTGGAATGTGATTAAGAGCCAAGAGTAGGAAAGTGGATTGAGGATGGACGGGGGACCTGGAGCCGATTCCTGGGAAACTGTCGACCGTAAAGTATCAAAGAAGAGTAAGAAGAAGGTTGAGGGAGAGGAGGATGGTTCCTGGAGTCGAGTATCAAATGACAAACGTAAAAAGGAGTTCTCAGGAACTAGGGGTGGGCGTGGAACAGAAGGGATGGGAGGAGAAAGAAGAGATGGAGGGGATCGTCGTGGGGATGGTGGTGACAGGCGAGGAGATCGCGGGAAACCTCCACGTGGAGGATCTAACCAGAGATACACTTTACCCCGTAGACCCGGTGGTCGAGATAGAGATGGATATGGTTCAGCTGCTGGAGGACCTGGAGCAGGACAGTTTTCACGCTCTACACCTTCTCCGGGTAGAAGTAATGCTCAGACACCACAAATCCAAGGAAATCTAGGTAATTATCACCAAGTTTCACTTCAAGACGAATTCAGCTATTTAATATCATCTTCTCTTTTTCTTTTATACGTTCTCTCAAAGTATACCATGACTTGTAATTTGTTTGGTTTTAATACTTGCCCTTCCTTCTAATAATAAAAACCTCTCGCGTTTAAAATATTCCAGATTAGGTTCAAGATAATCACGGGGGTTAACATTTTTCNTCTGGTGATAAAAAAATACTTGTTGCGTCATGAAATTGTTTCTTGCTTTTTTGTGTGATAAAAGTTTTTTATTCAGGTCCACCCCCTCCGCAAGATAATATCCCGAGTAAACCCTCCTGGGCTAACCTGGCTGGTAAGACGGGAGGAACAGAAGGTACTCAGAAACCAGTTCTGCCAGATGTAACTAAGCCCAGCTTGAAGCCTTCTCCTACAGTCCCGGAGAAAGCTTCTGCTGCTTGGACTCCTAAACCAGCACTTGAATCCACTTCTGTTGTAGAGATAGCTCCTCAAACCACTTCTCTTGTCACAGAACTTGAGAAGGATAAAGCTCCGACGGCAGAACCCCAAGATCCCAGTCCTACAAATGAGTTGAACAAACCTACAGAAGTAAAGGCAGCAATTAGTGAAATTAGTGCGAGTCTTCCTAGTAAGAAATTAATAACCCTGAACCCTGCTGCTCCTGAATTTAACTTTGAATCTGCAAAACTAAAAATAAAATCTGAACCTGTTATAACCTTGAATCCTGCAGCACCCCCCTTCACGCTGTACCCAGGGAAAGATATAGACGTCCTTGAGTCTCCCGCTGCTGCTGCCCTGGTTGTTAATAAAGATGTTGAATGCAATGGGAATATTGTTGCGCTGGATGCAAACGAAAACATTGAGGTCAGCAAACCCGCTTCCGTTATCACTACAGTATCGCTTAGTCCTCCAGTGGATAAAACTCCTGAATTGGAGATTGTTCCGGTCAATTCTCGCTCAATAGATGCTTCCAAGACAACCCCAGTGCCATCATCAGCTACTGAATCTGTGACTACACTGACTAGTCCGGTCAGTATTAAATCTGTAGACCCTGAGACCCGTCACTACGGCAGGGATGCTCTTCTGCAGCTACAGCAGCATCCTCTATCCCTTGTTAAACCTGAGCGTCTTCCAGCTTTAGATATTGTTCTAGATTCTCCGCTCCGATCCTCCAATAGCGCTCCACAACTAGGAGAAACACCACAGTTCCATCAGTTTGCTCGAACCCTGCCTTCTAAGCGTGATAGTGTTAGGAAACCGTCAAAGATAATATCCCTCTCTCGGGAACCCGTAAAGCTTCACAAGTCGGAGAACGCCTGGACTCCGGCAGTTAAGTCTCAAACTGAGCAAGATGAGATGGACGTCTTGTCTAAAAGTGTTCTCTCTATTCTCAATAAGTTGACTCCACAGATGTTTGATGTTCTGGTTGAGAAGTTTAAGAAGTTGGACATTGATACTGAAGAAAAGTTGATAATGTGCATGGAGCAGGTGTTCGAGAAAGCTGTAGATGAACCTTCTTTCTCGAGTGCTTATGCCCGGATGTGTAGGGAGTTGTCCCGCAAAGCTGTCACAAAAGATACACAATCAGACGAGAACTTTAGGCAGATACTTCTGGACCGTTGTCAAAAGGAGTTCCAGGCTGATTACATCAGCGAGGAACAACGTAAGAAGTATGAGGATGATTTGAACAACGCTACAACAGAAGACGACAAGAAGAAGATCAAAGGAGAGTTTGAAACTCTAGAATTAAAGATGAGAAGAAGATCCCTAGGAAATATTCGTTTCATCAGTGAACTATACAATCTGAAAATGTTGCCTGGGAAGATTATGCATGAAATAGTACGAAAACTGCTTGAAGCTGTTGACGAGGAGAGCTTAGAGAGTCTGTGTCGACTTCTCACAACTTCTGGGAGCAACATGGAGAAGGAAACTGCTACCATCCCGGAAGAAAGACGTCATCTCTACGACTTTGACAATTACTTCAGCAAGATTGAAAAAATCGTTGGGAACAAGAAGGTCTCGAGCCGAGTCAGGTTTCTACTGCAGGATGTTGTGGATCTGCGTAAAAACAACTGGGTGAGTAGACGTGTTGATTCAGGTCCTAAAACTATTCGACAGATCCACAAAGAAGCTGAACTTGAGGCGTTGAAGATAAAGCTTGCCGATCAAAATCTTAGCTCCCCGGTAGCAAGGCGAAGCGAAGATCGAAATCGACGTAAAACCGAATTCCGTCCTCCTCGTGCCCAGCAAGATGAAGGATGGAGTGCTGTACCCCTGAAAGCTCAACGTCCCTCTGACGTGATGGACCCTGAAAGGTTAAGGAACATAAAGAAAGTAGACACCAACTCTATCAAGCTCAAACCTGATTCTGGGCGAGGTATCTCTTCCTGGGCCGGAGGCAGTACTGGTCCTCAAACCCCCTCCGTCCACAGCGGAAACCGCTTCCAGATGTTGGAGGATTCCGAGTCTATGCCGGCTCCTCAGGTTCACTATAGTGGTAGAGCAAGCGAACCTATTCGAACCTCTTATGATCGGAGCTTGAGCAGAGGAAGAATGCAGTATGGGAAACCTTCTTCACAAGTTTCTAGTCGCTCCAGTTCTGTGGATAGAAGGTAAATTTTAAAATATTTTTCAAGCTTTGATTTTCCTTTTTATTTGACATGCATGATGGAAATTTAAAGGTTGGGATAACTGGATTTATTAGTAGCATCAAAGTCTCCAAGTTAAATTAAAAATAATTTTGTTTTTCAGTGCTTCTCTGCGCGGTTCAGCAGCTACAGACGAAGAAGAGCTGAAAACTAAATTTAGAACTCTGCTAGATGAATATATTAGCAACTGTGATTTTAATGAAACTCTGGTTTCTATCTGCGAAAACTTTCATTCTTCCAACATCGATTTTCTGGTGGAAGTATGTTTCGACTATGGACTGGAGAAGAAAGAAAAAGATCGGTTGAAATGTGGAGATCTTCTCAGCGGATTGATGGAGAAAGAATGTCTTCAGATTTCTCAGTTGTGTACAGGCTTGGGGCGTATTCTAGAAATAGCTGCTGATATTATTCTTGATGTTCCCAAGTTTTGGGAGCTTACTGCGGACATTCTAGCTTGTGTCCTAGTCAAAAGAAGCTGCTTTGACCGTGTAATGGAAAATAGCTGCGAGTTCGTGACCGACCAGAAATTGCGCGAAAATTTTATTGAAACCGTTTTAGGTTCAATCAAACGAATGAACGAGGATTCGTTCTCTTTGTTTATAAACCAGCATACAGAAGCCTTGGAGAAACTGCTTGGTTTGGACCTAGCTTCGTTTTTAACTGACAAACAATTACTTGTTATCGTGTCTAAACCTCTTCAGAACGGAAGTAGACACGAGGATCTGTACAGACAACTCAGTGACGTACTTAATAAGAAAGTCCCCGAAAATGACGAACTGTCGATCATCGACAAAATTCTTTGTGATAAGGTGATAGAGAAGGATGTGTTGAGAATTGTGGTGACGGCTGTGATTGAGAGTGTTGTGGACGGGGTGGCTGGAACTCAATGTTCTCTCCGAATGGAAGGATTAAAGGCAAGAGCTCCGATCCTGAAGAAGTATCTGGACGCTGACAAGGTAGGAATCTTTTGGACGCTGATTACAGTGTAAACCTAGGTAAAACTATTTAATCAATCTGAGGCCGAACTTAAAGAATTCAAACCGCGTCACTTATCCGCCAGAAACCGGTTCCAATTGAGCGCTGGCTCAAATCTCGGAAATACTGATTAATATTTCAACTATGTTTGAACCGCGTATAAAATTTGAGCCGCAACACAAATTCTTTAAATTCGGTCTCTGAGCGAGGAACTTTGTTTTGGTTACCCATGATCCCGGTCCCTTGTCTCGATATCCACAGTAGACACTTAGGAATTTTATGCTAAATCTGCTTGATCTCTATATTTTGGAAATCCGCAATTTCTCGGTTCTCATATTGGTAGAAACGCAACATTACTTGCTTCGGATAATTATCTTATCTCACTCTTTACAATAGTTTAGATATGGAGTTAGAGAAATAAGATTTTGCCGATCCGCATCCAGCAAGCCTGAATGTTGTAGGTTGAACTGAACCGTATCTAAAAGACCCGACTAATCCTTATTGCTACAATTCTTGTTTCTCATTGGGCAAAACCTCAACCCTTATCACTTTGAGCAAACAATTAACTGAAGTGGAGAGTGAAATAGTTGAGTATCTTCTAAGCCAGTGCTTAGGATCCATTTAATTTTGATCCGGATCCTGGATCCGCACTGAAAAAAATGGATCCGGATCCAGGTTTTTTCCTATAAAATACAAAGAATTTTTTTTTAACAGAGCAGAATTTTTAAATTTGTTGTCTGATTGTTTTCGCTATTTTTATGCAACTTTATAAAGCATTCAGAAATCAGGAAATTTATTTAAACATTCAGAAATCAGGAAATTTTTATAATCTCTCTTTTATGAGTTAAAATTTGGGGTTTGAGATTATTTTTTGCAATTTTTGGTTGATATTTTGCCCCGTATATCCGCATATTTTTGCGGATTCGGATCCAGCAAGCTAAAATCTTGCTGCAGGATCTTAAGCACTGCTCTTAACGCAAGTTTAATTTTTGATTACTCCAGGTGTTCAGCTAGATGAGCTTGAAATTCTACAGTCTATGTACCCTGAGGAGAAGGAGCTAGAGTTATCTGATCCTGCAGTTCTCTCCGATATCCGGGACTATCTCGAGAACCAGGGGGATTGTCCTAATTCTGTCGAACTAACTCTGAGAACCCAACTTGGTTCAACCCAGATAGAAACTATTGTAAACCTTCCAAGAAGCTATCCTAGTTTATCTCTACCAGAACTCTATATTAGGTTTAAAGGGGATCCTAACACAATATAAGCGTACAGATCGTCGTCGTTCGATACCTTTATCTTGATCTTCTGGTTTATTTAACTAAACTTTCAGAAGAATGGCGCTCGAGAGAGTCAAGATCATCAAGGCTAACAATGAGGAGCTCGATGAGCATGAGAAGCAGGTTTCACAGGTTGGTTAAACTGGATATTAAGAAAGTTAAGAATAGTTAGTATTTAATAAAAACAAGACCCCCTAATTTTTCTAAATAAATTAAATATCGTAACTCTATTTTTTTATAAGCATGATACATTATTCCAAATCATTTAGCAACTTTACTTCTATACCGTAAAATTTTTTTCAACCTTGTGAATTCATAATTATAAGTTCATATTCATTATCCAGATTGCTATAAGCATGCTTGTATACAAACATGATATTAATTGTGGTTTAACTTTCCCAGGCTCTGCTTGACCTTGAGGTTAACTCTGATCTGAAGGCTGCCCTCAGGGAACTACACATTACAGCAGTCAAAGAGGTAAGTAGTGATTTTTCTTAATGCTTTGTATTCTTTATGATAAATAATGATATATTTCAGGACCGGGAATTGAACGCACTTTACGCAATCCAGAGTTTAGTTCATGGACTCCAGCATCCTAATAAACTACTCCATCAGATCCTCGAGGCCTTATACGACCAGGATTGTATTAGTGAGGACGCCCTCCTGGACTGGGAGAAAAGTGAGGACCCGGAGGAGCAGGAGGGGAAAGGAGTAGCTCTCAAGTCCTGTACCCAGTTCTTTGAATGGTTGAAGACCGCGGATGAAGAGCAGGAGGAGATGGATATGATAGAAACGGTGGTGGTGAGTTAAATTATTTATTTTTCTGGTTTTCGATGTAATTTGAGCCGCCTAATTTCGTTTAAAAAAAATATTTTTTTAGTTATTGTTTCGACGATTTTTTTACTTTAATATTCTAATTGTTTAGGAATCAAAATAGCTGAATGGTGATGCATAAACTTACTGCTGGACATATGACCACTCCGGGTACCAACACAGTACACGATCCACTACGGAGCTTTTATTCTGGTCTTCAGTTGGAATTCTTGCTCATTTGCCACTAACTTGCTTAAAGAAAACGTTGGATATTTTATTTTTAATTATTTATAGATAAAAATTGCTACATGTGTTTTGCAGTCCAAATAGTAGGGTGATCTTTTATGGGACTAATGAGTTATACAAGTATATCGAGGGTTAAATGGAAGAAAAAGGACTGGGGTCTGTTAAAAACAAGATTATTGTTGCTCTTGACAAAGCTTCTAACCCTACAATTATTTAAGGTTGACTGCCCTGCGGGAAAAAAGGCAATTGTTATCTTCGTCCCAGTTCCCCAGCTGAAGGCCTTCCAGAAGATCCAGGCTAGGTAACACATATATTTACACTTGAATTTAGTCTTTAGTCTGATATCATACTAGATTATCACCAAGCCTATTACGCTAAAATACGCACATAATACTATTGCATGCAAATCTTTATATTGACAATATACAAATTTTTAAATGATTCGCGCTTTTTAGATTTTCTTAGTAGTTCCAAATATCGCAATTTAAAGCTATAACACGATCCAACATGATGTGGGACACCCTGTATGTCTCTGAATTCGTAAATGAAAAATGAATGCTTGTGAAAAGTGTCAAATAGGGAACACAAATTCTTATTTGAACACCTGGATATTTTTGTTGAGTGTCCTTATTCTTATTAGTTAATTAAAAGAATCTGCCAAATTGTCTTTGAACGTTTTCCTAAATTTGACAAATCTAGGCTCGTGAGAGAGCTTGAGAAGAAGTTCAGCGGTAAGCACGTTGTCTTCATTGCTCAGCGAAGAATCCTCCCTAAGCCAACCAGGAAGGCAAACAAGCTGAAGCAGAAGAGACCTATCTCCAGGACCCTTACAGTAAGTTAATAAACTATAATTAGCGTTACCCTAATTATTCAAAATAACTTCAGTATTTCAAGTTAATAGTATCTAGTTAACCTGGTTGGTACTTCTGTTAAGATTATTTAAATACTCGTTTTAAATACGGTGCACAGTATTTTACTCTAAAATAAGATGTTTTGTAGCTTTCAGCTGTTAATTTTCATATTCTAATGCTTATTTCTGAAACCTGTTCTAAGGAATCTGAAGAGGAATTCTCGATATCTTTATTTTTAAAATAGTATGTACTGCAGTTTCTGAGAGGAATATAAACAAACCTCAAAGCTTGAGCAACATTTTTTAAGAACTCCTTTCAGAAACTTAATTTGTTCACATATTTATGGTAGTTCTTCAATCCTCTTACATGCTCTGCTGTATACATTTTTATATTCTTCTTGCATTTCTAAGTCTACTCATTTTATAAGCCTCATACATTCCTCTGCTGTTCATTTCATTATCCTCTTACATTACTCGGTTCATTTTATTATCCTCTTACATTCCTCTTCTGTTTATTTTTTTATCCTCTTCCATTCCTCTTCTGTTTATTTTATTATCCTCTTACATTACTCTGCGGTTCATTTTGTTATCCTCTTACATTACTCTGCGGTTCATTTTATTGTCCTCTTACATTACTCTGCGGTTCATTTTATTATCCTCTTACATTACTCTGCTGTTCATTTCATTATCCTCTTACATTACTCTGCGGTTCATTTTATTATCCTCTTACATTCCTTTGCTGTTCATTTCATTATCCTCTTACATTACTCTGCGTTTCAATTTATTATCCTCTTGCATTACTCTGTTGTTCATTTTATTTTCCTCTTACATTACTCTGCGTTTCATTTTATTATCCTCTTACATTACTCTGCGTTTCATTTTATTATCCTCTTACATTCCTCTGCTGTTCATTTTATTATCCTCTTACATTCCTCTGCTGTTCATTTTATTATCCTCTTACATTACTCTGCTGTTCATTTTATTATCTTCGTACATTTCTTGCTCTGCATTATAATTTTACATTCCTCAGCTGCACTAAACCATTTTATATTTCTAATCTCACTAAATTGTTCAGGCTGTCCACAACTCTATCCTGGATGATCTCGTTTACCCTGCTGAGATTGTTGGAAAGAGGATCAGGTAACTTATCTTAAATTTTTAAGCATCAAAAAAACGTTGTAATTAACCTAGGATTGTTTCTCAACATTAAAACACCTTAAAGTGACTCATTTAAGATAGCTCCGAAGATAGTTTATTTGAAACCTAACTACGATCAAAATATTATTTTTAATTGTGCCTAACTCCAAAGTAGAATGCTCGCTAAGCAATTGAGTCTCGTTAAAAAAATTAATTATATTTTTTAAACTTACGGATAAATTATTTTGTCAAGGATCCGTCTGGATGGAACAAGACTGTTCAAGGTTCACCTCGACAAAACCCAGCAGACCAACATCGAGCACAAGACGGACACATTCTCCTCCGTCTACAAGAAGCTGACAGGGAAGGAGGTTAACTTCGAGTTCCCTGAGGCATACCTTTAATTGAATCGACTATCTGTACTCTTTATTAAAGTTCGAATTGTCGCTTCTCTTGGGTTTAAAACTTGAAGATGACTTGATACCTTCCTGTTTCAGATAATATGTTAGGATCCCCTTTTCCCGTCTTAGGTCGGATAAGTTTGATCGCGAGAGTCAGGCGAGGATCAACCGTGATATCCGGGTCTACCTGGAGCAGGAATCCGTTCCCTCAGAACCTTGTCTGATCTCAGTTGTCACCTGGGTTCAGGACAATGGAGAGACATATATGCTCCCTGAGACGGGTTGCATTGATCCTAAACCTGATGAGGTTAAGGTATCCGGTATGTTTTGTAGATACTGGATCTACTCCCATCATATCTACAGTAAGATAAAGAGAAAGAATATACTGGATATGTCCAAGGAATATGATCTCTCAGGATTCTGCTTGCCGGGGAAACCGGGAATCATCTGTGTAGAGGTAAAAATAATAAATAATTTTCATAATCATCGGATTTTTTTAATCCATATCTGCGAGTGTTAAGTTTATTTAATTCCTAATTTGCAAATAGCAGTAGTCTGTAATTTCTATAAGATAATTATTCAGGGACCTGGTAAGAACTGCTCTGATTGGTGGAGTGTTGTGAGAAATTGGAATTGGAAACGGTTATCCCTCAAGATTACGGAAGAAAAGGTAAATATTGCAATCTACAACATAAACTTCAAAAATTTGACGTTCACCATGAATATTTTTTAAAGAAATTATGCTATAATCTTCAGAAAATTAACCAGGGTCAAGGTATAAATACAGTTCGTCTTAGGGAAGTGAAAAGGGAAAGAGAACAGGGGGAGACTGAAGGAGAAATAGAAATAGGGAAAGAAAAAAGGGGAATAGTGAAGGGAAAAGGGAAAGAGGAATAGGAAAAAATCTAAAAAAATTAAAATCAGAGATGCTAAAATAAACTCAGGGGGGACCTTGAAGTTGACCCTTTTAGGGGACAAACACTCCTTTATAATATAATAAAATTCCAAAAAAAATCCTTTGCACCCCCCCCCGCAGCAAACTTCTTGGAAGATTGCGTGGGCTTCAAAAACCTGGCTGTTTTTTTAGTTTTCGATTTTGGGAAAAATGTGATTCTGAAAAGGGGGCGAGGGCAAAAGTATGAGTCTTGCAATTAATAAACACCCCTGTAATAGATTATCTATTAAATAATCTTATCCCGTGCATTGGTGGTCAAATCCTGCTGGGATAATTCCGTATGATATACCGGGGCTGGCATTTTCTGCTGGAATAGCGTTAATTTAGGGATAAAGCACTAGTCCCGATTTTTGAAAGTGCCTACACTATATTTTACAGCAAACCCTGTAAAATAAGATTTTATTTGATTAAAAATTGAACGTTTTAGAGCTATTATTAACATTGAACGTCATGTCATTATGACGCACATTTATTATGTACTTGCACTACATTTTTGGAACGTTTGTGGTGTGTTGCATTCCAAATTTCAATGATGTTACTGGTAATATTTTTCATTTTCTCTCTGCCCCCCCCCCCCCCCCCCCCATCCATGAACATGTCAATGATTATCATTTTAATTATGTTTTAGGAGGGAGAGATTGAAAGTTTACGTCAGTTCTCCGGGTTTAATGAGATCGGAGAAGTAAAATCTGGTACCAGAGATTATCACATGGATATGCGTCAGTTCCAGCTGTATCTAGAGGAGCACGGATCTCCACATATATTCTCTCAACTGTTTGGAATAGAGAAATAAACTTTAGCTGCCAGATCTACTCGTTTCATGTTTACGATGTTAGATTCTTCATGTTTATAGATTATCTTCATCTACTGGATTCTAGCAATAGTTTGTTCCCAGGGGTTAAAAGAAATTGTGTGTATTCTTTTAGTTTCAAATCTTTGACAGAAATGGAAGTGTCTAAAAAATAAATTACACCTTCTTTAAATTACAAAGGTGCCAAGGAGGTTTTACAGAAATTAGTGGAAAGTCATTCTTTAAATTGTTAAAAATTCAATCTGAATATCGGGTAGAAGTGTGAAGAAAAATTTTAATTTTTTTTGACGTAGTGTCATAAGATTTTAACTGAAGAGAATATTGATTGTCATGATTAGAAACATATATTTACTCAAGAAGTGGTTATTAAGATTTACACCAAACCTTAACATTTCCAACACAGAAAGGAAGATATTTGGAATATTTCTGGATTTAACTTAAGTTTGTTTTGTTGTATCTTAGATTTAAACAAAAACTTTTTTTGAAAAATGTTCTGATTTAGTAAATGATGCAAATTTTCTTGATTTAATTTGAACTACTAAGAAAGGTATTCCTATTCCTTAAATTAAAGATTATAAAAGATGAGATGATATTCAATTAAATTTTTTTTCTCTAAATATTTTCCTTTTCATGTAAAAAATATTCTAGAGATATATATACCAAATTATTAGTCATAATTAGGCACTATTATCATAATTGAGAAACCTTTTTATGACCGAAAAATTTGAAAAAAAGCTTTAATTTAACTTTAAATAAGTTACCTCCTGATTTACACAGGAACATGTTTGCATGCTCATTTTTGCATAGCGGAGGCTCGGCCTGCCTAGAAAATCTGGGAGGCTCGTTTCTGCATAGCGGAGGCTCATGCAGAAGATAAATATAAATTTCTTAAAATTTAAGTTTAACTTGAAGAAATGATGTTTCCTTTTGATATAAATTTAGACTACTTGGAAACTATTTGTCTCGGTACCCACAATGCTTAAAATTTTCGGTGTAAAATGTAAAGCAGTTTATCACCTGAACATCCATTCATTAATCTTTGGCAAGCTTATAAAATTTCTTAAAGGTAATATTTTTTGCGTATAATGCGGCTGGATTTTTGAAAATCGCAATTTGGATGCAATAAATTTATCATATAGAAACGTAACAATTGTCAAATGTACCAATTGTTAATGTTTTGGCTTAGATGCCAGAGCGGTTGCGGTCATGGCTGCCGAAAGACAAAATCTAATGTGACTTGGAAGGGAAAACGGTTGTGGCTTATGGCCGCTTGCCTTCCCCTGCTCGTTTGATGGAACCAAGTATTGCAAGAAAATTGCATTTCAAATTCCTGCAAAAAAATTACTTGGTTAAAAAGCCAAATTTCTACTGGAAATCAAGTCTTGTGTTATGGATTCCTGAGATTCGTGGACTTTTACTTGGAAAAAATTATTGGGACCTGTCCACATTTTGTAAAGTTCTCTATTAGGGACTTAAAAAAAACATGAATTGAGGGAGTTCCATAGCAATTTTTACTTTTGATAACCAGAACAGAAATTATCCCAGATATTAGGGATATTATGCCATCAGAGCTGGGAACTTTAGTTTTTTACACTCTAAATTCTGATTGTTTGAGCTGGATATCCACTACGGGCACTTTTAAATTGAGGATCAATGCAAAATCTTTTCTTTTCAGATTGCCATGGAGGATATCAAATAATAAAGATTAAATTAATCTGAAGATTTAAAAGTAATCTAGATAAAGCATTGATCCTGATACAATGCAAGATTTAAGAAATACAAAAAATGGCAAAAATTTGTTCAACTTTCACTCTAAAAATCTCACAATGCTTTAATTTATGATTTGTTTATGATTTGAAAGGTTTGTGAGATGAGTGAGTTGGCTGGGGGTGGAATTCTAGTACGAGGAATCCCGGATGCATCAACCCTTCATATATCTAAGTAAATATAAATTAAATCCTTGCCTTTAAATAAACAAAAACATTAAAACCCATACAACCCTAACTGATATAAAAAAGGATTGTACCACCATATAGTGCCTTCATATATCTAAGTAAATATAAATTAAATCCTTGCCTTTAAATAAACAAAAACATTAAAACCCATACAACCCTAACTGATATAAAAAAGGAATGTACCACCATATTGTGCCTTCACATATCTAAGTAGGTATAAAATATAACCTCTGGTTAATACAGGGCCACCAACACATGAGACCTTAAAGTGACTGTAGAGCCAAGACGTAATTCTAAGCAACCCTCCATTTACAGAGTGGCATGACCGATTCACAACGTTACCAATATTAGCTATCCTTGATAAACAATTATTGAGATTGCCTTGTATATATTTATCAATATTGATTATTTTCAATTTTGGTCGCTTAATGAAAGTGATGGCGGATTTTTGCTACAGTAACAATGGAGGAAATTGTTAAATTTGAACACTTTTTAAGCCAGAGAAACGAAGATATCCTTCACTTACTCTTTACTCATGGAGAAACGAAGATATCCTCCTCATAAATTGACGAGAAAGGTCAAAGGTACTGTTGTGAATTGGAGGGTAACTTGAAAATACGACAGTTATTATTATTACAGCCTAAAACTTCATTTTTATTGGATCTCGTAAACGCAAATAAATTATGTGGCTGAAGTAATACAAATACATAGGTTGAAGGAAGAGGTCGGAACATTTATGAGCAGAATTGTTAATCTGGAACGTTTGATCTTGATATCCCATGGGGGCACTATTAAATCAAAGGATCAATGCATGATCCTTAAATTGAAGTTATCCGTGTAGTGTATAACCAATATGGGATTAACCGTAGGTCTGCATTAAGATGGAGATCAATGCTTGATTTTGAGATTCATAACACAAGACTATTGATCTAAGGAATAGGACTAAAGTGACAATCTCTTAATATTAATGTTTTCAGGATGGTTGAAAAGCAGCGGGATTCCCCCTGGGGATATAATAATCAAACTAAGAACTTAGTAAACAATCAAAGGTAAATCATTAAATTAAAGGGATTGTCAACGTTATTCTAACTGTTTCTTTAATTAAAGATCTACTATTCAAGTTGAGAAGTTCTCATTTTGCCAGTCTAAAATGAACACCTCGCGGCCGACGTTTTCTAGAAAGAAAACGTTACTAGATTACTGCACTATTGACATGCAGGGAAATTTCTGTGATTCGTCCAATTATTAGAAATTAATATGCAATTTTTAAGTTCTAATTTTAGAAAACTCGGTGCTTCGTTGAGTAATGCTGGGGATGTATTGGAGAGCCCTATCCCAGATCTAGCCTGGATCCAGGTTAAATCCATCCTCAGGGATTTTAAGGACGGAATTTCTCCGGAGGATCTCCTTCAAGAGTTCACTAACAGATTCAAGGTTAGGAGTAAAATTAGTTTCTTTAACGACATTTTCCTGTTTTTCGGGACCAAATCCCTGATAGCTTTTAATAAATTAATAATTAAGTATATTCTGAATTATGACCGGACATACAAATAAACAGAGATTACTACTTTATTTATAGATTAATCAGCAATCCTAAAACTTAGTTGGTACAATCAGCCATTGATTATTTATCAAAATTTGTTAATCAATTAATGGTTAAAATATTTAATAAGAATTTTTAAACGAAAACAATAAATAAACTTCTTTAAGAAACTAAAGATGTAATATCAAAGTGACCCTGAAGTCTTAGATTAGAATGTCTGATTCAAAGCGGTACCGTCTAGACAAAACTGTCTGATTCAAGGCGGTACCGTCTAGACAAAACTCTGATTCAGGGCAGTACCGTCTAGACAAAATTGTCTGATTCAAGGCGGTACCGTCTAGACAAAACTATGATTCAGGGCGGTAACGTCTAGAAAAAAACTCCCATTCAAGGCGGTACCGTCTAGACAAAACTGTCCGATTCAAGGCAGTACCGTCTAGACAAAACTCTGATTCAAGGCGGTACCGTCTAGAAAAAACTGTCCCATTCATGGCGGTACCGTCTAGACAAAACTGTCTGATTCAAGGCGGTACCGTCTAGACAAAACTGTCTGATTCAAGGCGGTACCGTCTAGACAAAACTGTCTGATTCAAGGTGGTACCGTCTAGACAAAACTGTCTGATTCAAGGCGGTACCGTCTAGACAAAACTGTCTGATTCAAGGTGGTATCGTCTAGAAAAAACTGTCTGATTCAAGGCGGTGCCGTCTAGACTTAACTGTCTGATTCAAGGCGGTACCGTCTAGACAACTGTCTGATTCAAGGCGGTACCGTCTAGACAAAACTGTCCAATTCAAGGCGGTATAGTCTAGACAAAACTGCCTGATTCAAGGCGGTACCGTCTAGACAAAACTGTCTGATTCAAGGCGGTACCGTCTAGATAAAACTGTCTGATTCAAGGCGGTATAGTCTAGAAAAAACTGTCTGATTCAAGGCGGTACCGTCTAGACAAAACTGTCTGATTCGAGGCGGTACCGTCTAGACAAAACTGTCTGATTCAAGGCGGTACCGCAAAACTGTCCGATTCAAGGCGGTACTGTCTAGACAAAATTGTCTGATTCAAGGCAGTACCGTCTAGAAAAAAACTGTCCCATCCAAGGCGGTACCGTCTAGACAAAACTGTCTGATTCAAGGCGGTTCCGTCTAGACAAAACTGTCCAATTCAAGGCGGTACCGTCTAGACAAAACTATCTGATTCAAGGCGGTACCGTCTAGACAAAACTGTCCAATTCAAGGCGGTACCGTCTAGACAAAACTATCTGATTCAAGGCGGTACCGTCTAGACAAAACTGTCCAATTCCAGGGTCCCTTCAAATTTCGTATACGGAATATTTGAAAAAATAAATCTAATTTTACTTCAGGTTCAAGTCAACTTTGAAGATTTTGGATTCGTTAATCTGAAAGATTTCTGTGAGAACGGACTGGCCGGGAGTAGTGTTCAGTTTAAAAATAATGTTTTGAGCCTCAAGGACGGAGCTTGTATTTTGGATTCAGCTCGACCCTATCCTAAACCCTTACAAAAATCCGTGGCAGAGAAGGTTCTGGAGCTTCTAGCTCAGTATCCAGGTGGGATACCTGATATCAACCTGAACCGAGACTTGTTTGAGAAGTATCAGATGCTCATCGACCCCCTAGACTACAACTTCCCTTCCTTGAAAAGCCTCCTGGCGTATCACAAGGATATATTCTACGTGGATCAAAACTGGCGAGTGTTTGATGTTAGATACAAGAACCTCAGTTCGATTAACCCACGGATGTATACTACAAGAGACCTGGAAAGAGGAAAGATGTATCCGGTTTTATGGACGGTTATACGGGGACCTCATGAGGTCTGGGTTAACTTAAGGTAGTTTTATTCATCATCAATGTTTAAAAAAAGTTAAACGCCATTTAGTTACTTGAATTAAAGTAAAAAGTTACAAATTTAGTTTTGTCTCGTGTTAAACCAATATTTGCGTAGTTTTTTAAAGATTTTCTACCCGTCCCCACAAAGTCCTAAGAAATTTCCTTGTTCTAGGACGGACGTAAAGAAGCTGTATGATCTGATCTTGGAGATGAACTCCTTTTACAACCTGAACTCCAGGTACCAGGCGATGGAGCTGACCACGGAGAAGGTTGAGGTTGGGTCCCTGGTGGTTGTTAAGGCAGGAGCTAACTTTTGCCGTGGACGCATTGTTCAACTTACTAATTGCAATCAATACAAGGAAACTTGAACAAGTTCAAAATTATATTAAAAGCCATAATTTTTAAGTTTTAAAAAATTATAAATTTGATTTATTTTCCCCACTTCAGCGAAAAAAAACTCTCAGATATGTCGAACTATCTTTTCATGGTTTGGATTAAAGGTTTTACTGGTTGACTCTGGAGATGCTCAATGGTTCGATCAGATTTACTCGATACATCTTAGCTTCCTCAAGATACCCTTCCTAGGAATCCAAATACGGAGTAAATCTTCGGAAATTAATAGTTCAGGTTCATTACTTTAAATTATTCCAGGAGTATGGGAGGGGGGTGTAATTTAATCAATTTTAATAAACAGCTTTTATTTTTACAGTCTACTGTGAAGAGGAGAAGAAGATCTTTAAGGGGTTGTTGAAGGATGCTTTCTCTAAGGATGCACTTGCCCTGAAAGTTGTGTGGGAGCATGATGAGTACGTTATAGGAGAATTTTATAATACTGAAACAAACAAAAACCTTGAGAGATGTATCCAGGATAGTGAAGAAGTGAAGACACTGATGTGAGAACCAAGCGGGATCTATCTCCAAACCTAGTTATGTCATGGTTCTCAGCTGTCGAATATGCTTTAAAATTCTTTTTTATGTAAATATGAACCTTTTTTTTTGGCTCATTTGAACTATTTTTGTTCTTCATTTGAACTCTTTTTTAGCTATTAGAACTATCTGTTTGATCATTTGAACTATTTTTTGCTCATTTGAACTATTTTTTGGTTCATTTGAACTATTTTTTTTGGCTCATTTGAAAGCTATGTTTTGGTTAAATTGAACTTAATTGTATTGCAATTGAACTACTTTTTTTGCTCATTAGAATATTTTTTGGTCAATTGAATTATTTTTATGTCCATATGTGAAATATTGTTTGATCATGTGAACTATTTTGTGATGATTAAACTATATTTTTTCATGAAATAAAAAATTTTAACTGCATATATAAATTTAGCTTGTCTGGGTGTCTGTCTGTATGTCTGTTTGTTTGGGTGTTTTTTTTTGTTTGTTTGTATCCAATAAACGTCAAAACGGCTGAACCGATCGGGCCCAAATTTTGACCATAGGGAAGGTTTATGAATGATCAAAATTTCAAAAAATTGTGTTTAAAAGTTTTTAAATTTTTGTAAAATTTTGAAAAAGAATATGAAATCCGCAAACTTTTTAGTTTTTGTTTTTTACTTTTGAAATAGATGATGGACGCAAGGCGCCCTAAAAGCCTAGTAGCTAAAAGGAGTAAATAATGCGTTGTTAAAACTACAAACGAGCAATAGTTAAAATGATCAATAGTTCTAACGGCAGTAGCTTTCAAATGCGGATCCACCCAATTTAGAGCTATAACTTATATCGGTAATGTTACATCGTCTATCCCCCCTACTAGGCGAGGGGGCCGAGCGCCACGGCTAGGACAGGCTAGGGGGCCGCGCGCTGCGGCCACAAGTCCATATAGCAGCTGTAAAACCACGTGCTAGTAGGTCGGATGTGTAGTATAGCGGATTTGGCGTAGGTCAGAAGTGGAGTATAGCGGATTTGCGTAGGTCGAAAAATACACCACCCTTATATCGTCTGTACGCAACCGTGGGACACCCTGTATTATAAGAAATGATGTCGTCTTTGAGATTTTGCTCTTTCTCCCGGCATTGTCAGCTGTTGTTTTAGTTTAATTTATCTTTATACAAAAACATAGAAANATCCTTTTCTACTGGGGGCGAAACTCGGTTTGCCCCCTAGTTGCGCAACTGCATTCCTTTATCTGTATCCATCAAAATCAACATTCATATATGCATTTTGTCTGTATCTTCAACAATTACGTGTTCAATATCTGTTATACTTCATACACTTACCATTATCCTGTTCTAAGGCTGTCAAAGTAGAACTTCTATTTATCAAAAAGTTGAGAATTTACTGACATTGATTCTATTGAAAACATCAATTTTCTCCAAAATGATAGAAAGTTTGAAACATTGTATCAATCAAAATGTTTGCATTGAATTTCTTTCTTAACAATTTTCTTAAAAAAATTCATAAAATATTTTTAAATTCTTTCTCAAAAAGGCATTTTTTGTGAATATATTGACACTTAGAAAAATTGGTTGGCATTAAACTTTTCAACTCTAAAAAATACAATTTGTTAAGTAAAGAAAAATCCGAAAAATGCCTAAAAATTTGTAAAATAAAAATCTACAAACGTTAAAAAAAGCTTGTTATGAAATTTACGAAAATATACGTATTTTTATGGTTGCCTCAAACGTATAAGTTCTAAGAAAAATACAAATTTTAGTTTAAAGACAAAACCTAAAAATACGTAAAAATACTTTAAAAAACCAAACAAAAAGCTTAGAAAAAGTATTTTGTATGAAATTTGCGAAAATATACGTATTTTTAGGCTTGCCTCAAACTTTTAAACTCTAAAAATAAATGTTTTAAGAAAAGAAAAAAAAAACTAAAAAATACGCAAAATAAAAAACTAAAAACTTAAAAAAAATATTTGGTAAAAAGTATACGCAATTATTCGTAAAAATACGTTACTGGAAAACCTAAGCACTTACAAAATTGCTTGGTATGATAAATACGTAAATATACGCAAGTTTACCAAAAGTTGAGCATACGCATTTTTACGTAAATATACCTAAAATTACATATACCTATATAGAGGCTTTAGTTTGGTTAGGTTTTCAGGTTAGTAGGGAGGTGACAGCGCACTACCAAGTGACCGAAAAATTGTTATTTATTGAAACTCTATATCAAAGAAATTGGCAAAAGCCTTTTAATACTTAATAATAAAATGCTACAGTTTTTCTATTATTTATTTTATACAATTCTTCACTTTTAAAACAGGGTTAACCGCAAAGTTTAAGTCTTCAATGACGACCTATAACTCTTGACGATCTGCCAGTTTTCCCCATTATTTAAATGCCTACCAAAAACAGGGGAAATTAGTTCCAAAACTAGAAATTGGCCCATTTCTAACACTGAGTGTTAGTCTGCAAAGTTATCTTTTCCTAGCGTTTATATCTTAAAATCCAAGCCGAGTTAAACAAAACTAAACCAGACATTTATAAGAAATGCCGAAGATTATTAATTAAAACAAGAAATGTCGACTTTAACTAATAATAAGGTGTGAGAATTAGTTTTTGATGATTCTTGTTTTCATTTTCGAACATATCCCTATTTTGAAACAATTACCGCATTTCAGCTCATGTCGCGTTTTTTTAAACATTTCCTGGTTTTGAGACAATTACTCGAATTCATATCAATGTCAATTTTCGAGTATTTACTAACTTACGTCAAAAAACAAGATTTATTGATAAGTTAAAATATAAACAAAACGGTTAATAAAAACATATTGTTCTTTTGTAATTAAAAAAAATATTACGGCATTGAGAAATTTTTTATTGCAATGTAGGATTAAATGAAATGCGGGAAATTGATTGTTTAAAATACAGGAAACTAAATCAACTTTGTTCTCTTATTTAACAAATAAAATTTGAAAACTTAGATTCTAAATTTAATTCAGGGTTAATTAAGGCTTAATTAGATAAATTTTTTCTTTCAGCGATTTATTTTGTAAGTTATTAAAATGAGATTGGTTTTAAATTGCGGATTATACTAAAAAACGGGAAGTTGGTGTTGTCTCGAAAACGCTACAATAATTCAAATTCAGGATATGTTTGAAAATGGAAAACCTGACATTGTCTTGGGTTTTAATATAAAAAGAACTCCTTTAAAAATTTTGATTTTAAGAAAATAGTTTCAAATTCGGAATGGTTTAAAAATTTTAATTTTAGAAAATAGTTTCAAATTCGGAATGGTTGTCCTTGTGATGCTTAATACAATGTTGGTTATAGTTTTTATTATCGACTTAAAATCTCAATATGGGCTGTGAGTCTTTCAATATTTGGTGTTAGTTTTGGAACTTATGTCCCCTGAAAAAGGAACATGTTGCCAGATTTTAAATTGTGTTATCTGGTTTTGGCGGATTTAAACCGCGGCTCAAATTCTTTAAATTCCATCTCTTTATCCTTATTTTAGAATTCTTATTTTGGTATATTTCGTTAGTTATTGATTTCATGATAATACTCTCTCCAACCCAACCTATCACTCAAGGTTTTAAACAACTGTCATTTTCGCCATAATACATTTCGTTGTAAAGCACAACATTTTCAGATGGCTAATTAATGAATATCTCTTTTAGATGTGAATCAAGTGTAATTTAGCTTAGTCGTTTTATTTTAATGTAAAATTTAGGGATATTGTGAGGAGCGCGCATTTTCTGCGAACTCATGACGATTTTATTGATGTTACGTTCCACTGCGATGGAGGTGCGGTTCATGCACATAAGGTAAGCATTCCTTATTCTTGACCAGTTTTGATCCTTATCCAATTTTGATTCTCGTCCAATCTTTATTCTTATCCAATTTTGATTCTCGTCCAATCTTTATTCTTATCCAATTTTGATTCTCGTCCAATCTTGATTCTTATCCAATTCTTATCCAATCCTGATCCTCATCCAATCCTAATCTTCATCCAATCCTGATCTTCATCCAATCCTGATCTTCATCCAATCCTGATCCTTATCCAATCCTGATCCTTATCTAATCCTGGTCCTCATCCAATCCTGATCCTCATCCAATCCTGATCCTCATCCAATCCTGATCCTCATCCAATCCTGATCCTTTTCTAATCCTGATCCTCATCTAATCCTGATCCCTATATTATCCTGATCCTTTTCTACTCCTGATCCTCATCCAATCCTGATCCTTATCCAATCCTGATCCTTTTCTAATCTTGATCCTTATAAAGTCAGTCTTGATTTTCATCTAATCTTGATCCTGTTGGATTTTATTGACTGACGGGTTGTTCTTTAATAATACTAGTAGTAATGACATGATTCTCATCCAATCTCAAACATAATATATTTGTGGTCGTGAAAACATGATCCTCCTCCAATCTAAAACATTGTCCTATCCTGTAAATTTAGTAAATTTAATGAAAATTGTACTAGACTTTAGCATATCTAAATTTTTCTTGACCTCTGTTTCTTGGGACCAGTTTATCCTTCAAAACATCATATCCTGGTGTTTATTAGATTCAATTGGTATTGGAAGTTCTTGCATGGCAGCTCCTTAACTTCCCTACATTGCCTGTATGAAAAGTAGTAATTACAAATTCAATTCTCAGGTTATGCTGATCAATGAGTCTAGTTTTCTCTCCGATCTATTCAAGATATCCGCTGAGAAACAGTCTCCGTCTGCTCCCACAGAGATATCTCTACCCGGAGTAAGGAAACCCATCCTCACTAAACTCGTCCAGTATCTCTATCAGGTAGGAGGGATAGGATGGATTATCATTTAATAATATTAATAGTCAACATAATACTAAACCCAAAAATATAATCAGTCATTAGAGATACATTTTTGACTAAGGGGGGAGGGGGGTTGATCTTTTAAAAAAAAGTACCCCGAAATATGTTTTGTTTCCTGCCTTGAAGGGAGTTAATATTCTGAATTATGCACCTCGGAGTTGATGAAAAATTAGATATCTAAAGGTGTTTTGTTTTATCTTTTTGAACCCCAAAATATTTAATTATTTTCTCCTAAACGTCATTATCATCCCTCCCTGCCTTTCTTCAGGGGAAAAAATATGATTTTGAAAGAAGGAGGGGGGGGGGGGATTTTCAAGAAAATATACACCCTTCACGGTGTCTCGAACTCTCAAGCAAAAATCGATGAGAATTTTGCCAATTTCTTCTTTAAGCCAAAGCTAACAATAAGTGCTCTTAGTGCTAAAATGAACATGCAAAGGGCTACAGAAAAAAGTGAGTTAGAGCCGTAAAATCAAAGCTCAAGGCGTTGCGACACTTCAAAGTCAACCCTGTCCTAAAAATTGATGAGACTTTTTATGAACAGTCTGAATCTGCCCTGTATATTTTTTTTAAAGGGACAGACAACCATAAAGTCTGCAGCTGACAAGGATGAATTTATGTCTGTTGCAAGAACTCTGGATATTATACTAAACCTGGAGGATGAGGTAGGAAAATAATAAATTTATTGCTAAAACCTTTTTGTTTAAACGTTTATGGTATCTTTTATTATTATTGTCGAATGGTTTATAAAATCGTATATTTATCTTCAATATATTTAAACTAACAAATATGAAAACATGATTTTGCGATTATGAGGGATTAAGTTAACCAGGGGTGGAGGAAGCGTAATGCACATGTTGCACATAGTGGAGGAAGGTTTAAGCATAATGCACAATGTTAAATCTCGTTAATTGTCTTTTTTATCTAACCTTTTAAATAATTGAAATAACAATTTCACTGTGAATCGAGAGTTGGTTCAGATTTGCCAATTGCTCATATCTAAGTCATCTAATTTTTTTAACAGATTAGAAAACCCGGAGATACAGCCATTTATATCTTTTTTATCTAACCTTTTAAATAATTGAAATAACAATTTCACTGTGAATCGAGAGTTGGTTCAGATTTGCCAATTGTTGAAAACTTTTTTATTAAAAAACATAGAAGAGTGAAAATAACTGGTAAATTTTGGATTTATAGTCTCCGGTCGACTCGGAAGATGGGGGAGAGACGAACAACCTGGAGCCCTCCAGTCCAATTCCTATACCTATTCCAGCTAAGAAGGTTGTTAAGAAAGGAGGAAAGAAATCTAAGAAAGGAGCGGGGAAGAAGGATGATGATAAGGAACAAGAAGAGACAGAAGATCAGAAAGGAGATAACGAGAATAGAGATGGCACTTCCTCCCCCCAGAATCCTCAACAGTAAGCAAAATGAAATTAATTCATAATTGTTATTTTATTTATTTAAAATACTGAAAATTAATTAATGAGAAAAATTTAACCTACTTTGAACTAAAAGAAAAGTATTCCAAAACTTGATTAAAATATGTATATCATTTGTTGATAGTATTAATCAGACATAGTTCAATTTGTTACCCGACTTCAAATCTAAATGACTCAACAATCCCTTTAACCTTTCTTCTGATTCTAGAGAGCCCGTTGATGAATCCGGAAAGGAACATTCTAGATATTTTGTGAGCGCTATGAAGGATTGTTTGAAGGTGGACGTGAGGAACTGCACCAAGGATACGGACGGAGAAGTTCTAAAATACTACTCGTCCTACCTGTCAGGGTCCACCAGCTCTTCTCCAGTTCCCCAGCTGGCTCCGAACCCCTTGTTCGACGAAGACGAGGACATGTTTGCCAACGACGATGACACGTTTGCCAACGACGATGACGACCTGATTTTTGAACCCAGTAAACCTGACGATTCCCCTAAGGTAGACAAGGACGACAGTCCTATGGAAACTGGCAGGAAAAGAAAAACGTCCGGACGATCTAAAACCCAGGCAGTTTCTAAAAAAAGAAGAAATACCAAAGAGTTCGAAGAAGTTGGGACGGTTTCTGGATCTCTTCGTGTCGATGAAATGTCCACTCCGACAAAGAAAGCTGGAAAGCTTGTTAAGAAGACGGACGTGGAGAACATCCTTCCGGTTGATGAAGAGTCTCCGCGAATGAGAAAGAGCAGCGGAAGATCAACCACTTCTATGAAAGGGAAAACCACTCCGGAAAATATAGATCTTGAAGGAAAAGATGATGATGTTTCTTGCACACCCTCGTCAAACCCGAGCAAGAAGGTGGACAGGTCTAGAAGAAAATCAAAGGTTCAAGAAAAAAAAGAAACTGAATCGGAGGAAATCAGCGGTCCCAAGAAAGCTTCTGAGAAGAAAAAGAGAGGGCGTAAAAGTGTTGGCAAAGAAAAAACTAAAAACATCTCTGAAGAGAAAGAGGAAGAAGATGAAGACAATGATGAGGACGATGTAGGGGGAATAGAGGAAGTAGATTATGAGGTGGAGAAGGTTGTAGATAAAAAAGGAACCGGCAAGAATTTGTTATATCTGGTGAAATGGAAGGGTTGGGATCTTCCTGAAGATCAAACCTGGGAACCTCTAGAAAACCTGGAGAACGCCAAGCACCTTGTGACAGTATTCGAGAATTCCCTGAAGAAAAAGCCAGAGATTAAAGCGGGACGGGGGTCTAAGAAATCCCCTCCGGAGAAAACAGATTCCAACGCTGAAGGTTCAGAACATGAGGATGAGAAGGATGAATCTGAAGACGAGTCTGAAGCTGTACTAATGTGTCCAGATTGTTTGTTGATTTTCGTGTCTAAAAAGGGGATGAAGCGACACAAAGAAAATTGTAAAAAGCAAGAACCCTCATCAACTCAGGAGACCGAAACCAAAAACTCTTCACCATCAGAGAAGAACGTGGCCGTTTGTTTTAAATGTTTGATCGAGTACTCAAAAGTTTCTGATCTGAAAAACCATCTTCTTGATCACTTCAAGAAGGAACTACGGAGCAAGTTACCTAATAAGAAACCCTGGACCTGTCCAACCTGCTCCAAGAAGATGTCGGACGTGAATACACTTATTAAGCATTTTGCTTATGATCATAAGGTAAACCGAACCAACGATTTTTGTCTCATATATTTGAATACAGTTATCAATATTTTTCTGAATATATAAATTCTGAAACATTTAAATGCGTAATTAAAAATAACAACTTGAGAATTTGACTAAACTGATTTATAGGGNTATCGTAGTATTCAGATTGGTTGCGTATTTGCTGAATATGATCTACTGCTCTTACTAGCTCGGATCAAAACCTGAATTTTTCCAGGAGATTCTCCAATACTGCACCGCAGACGAGATTGAAGGTAAACCCGGAGGAGCTAAGAATGGGGTTGAGAGACTAGTTTCAAAATCTCCGTCTCCGGAAAAATCTAGGACTCATAAAATGAATATTAGCTTCTCCGACTCCGAAGATGATGAGACTGAGAATAAGGTAGAAATGTTAAGAATTCACGATGACAAAACAAATATAACATATGCCTAGAATTTATCGAAAGGGGTAAAAAACAATTTGTGACGTATTAACACGAAATATATGTTTTTTTTTTAAAAATTCATTCCAAGTTTCCCATCCCTCTTAGGGTCATGAAAATGTTTGTGTTTAATAAATAATTTAAAAGGAAATGTTTTAAACTTTTGATAAAAAGTTTAAAAAATACAACATAACTTGAATTGCAGGATAATTTGAAGAATGTTGCTCAATCCTTTGATGATCTGTTTGGTTCCGACATCTCGGAGAAGAAGGTTGACAACAAGATTGTCTTCAACAAGGACTCAGACGAATCAGATGATGAGGTAAATCTTCTAAAAATGTTAAAAACTTAAACGTTTTCTTAAACTCTTTTCTCTCTTGACTTTTCTTTTTCTTTAAATTTATACAATCTTAAAGATTTGGAATTATCTCAAGTTATCCGCTCATCTGACCTAGAGGAAACCGACCTATGTGCTTTCTGACCCACGGGGTCACCAACCAGAAATTGTAAAAGATCTTTTGATTGTTAAGACCGAATTACAAATCCGTAAGAACGCTCGGGAAGATTAAACTAAATTTTCGATACTTATTAAAACCTACTATTTAATTATTTTAGTTACCCGTTAGGTTGGTCTCCTCTAGGTCAGTTTCCATAGCATCAATTCCCAATTAATTTAAAGAATATTAAGTGACCCTCCATGCAAAGAGAGGAATGCATGGCCATGCTCGATTTACAACAGTACCCTTAAAACCGTTGTGTGTTCGTCAAGCACAGAAATATGTGTGTAAACGTATCTAAATCTGCTGTATGCTCAGCTGAAAATTCCGGTGTGCACTGCGTACAGTTTGAACTCAACGCAACGCACAGTGGAATTTGCAGCTGATGAGACAACCGGATTTAGATACGTTTACACACAGAACACACACACATCTCAGTACTCGACGAACACAAAGGTTTTAATGGTTTTTTGTAAATCGGGCATTAAACTTACTGTCCCTTTAATACATTTTTCCTAGGAGGAGAGTAAGTCAGAGAAATCAAGCACTAACGTTGACGAATTGTTGACTGAATAAAAAATCAATCAAATCATTTTTGGGAAAAAAATAAAAAAATGATAAATGAATGTGACCGGTCTCATTAACATTATATATGTTTATGTTCCCACACTAAAATTGTTTAACATATGTACATTCTGATCTTAATAGTAATCTGTCGCCGAACATTGTACTTTTTCTTCAAATAAGCTTTCTATGTGTACTTACAATTAACAATAAACATTGTATGCTAAAGGATTATTTACATTAGTTAACAGTTAACACATGTATTTGTATTCTGCACACTTGAAGTACAGGGTGTCCCAAAAAACATGGGAATTCAGTGACGAATTCGATATCGTCTTTGTCATGAATTAGCATGGTAATACCTAATTTCAAAAGCCATAATATTATTATATCTGCTAGAGTTTATTTTATGAAAAGGGTGAAAGACTGTAAAGATGTGTCTATAATGTCTCCGCAAGATGAACAGTGAATACTGACAAGTTTACTCTGTTTGTATACTGTAATTTTCTTGTTTTACTAAATACAACTGTATGCAGTCAAAACATAAACAAAAAAATTGTGAACATAGCAGACGAAACTCTTACAGATTAAAGCTTTCTCTGTAGGTATCACTATACTAAATCAAAGAATTATTTATAAAGACGATATCGAATTCGTCACTGAATTCCCATGTTTATTTGGACACCCTGTAAATACCTTGTACAAAATACAGATTTTGTATTGTATGTCACGTATTTGTAGCTTGTACATAAAATTTTTCAGATTTATATCTATGGCTGTATACTTGTACACAAACAATCTCAGATCCCTCTTTAGTTCAGGTAAATATTACTGGATTAATAGAATATTTTTCGAGGGGAGTTTACTATTGTGACATTTTCAGCGAGTTAATTATCTGTTTTTTTCTATTGATAGTTCACTAAGGTTAACGAGGGATCTAGACGCCCCTGATATATGGTTATCATTCATATTCTTTAAACTGAATGAAGTGGCATTGCTATCTCTACTGGCAAACTGTTCCATGTGTGAATTGCTCTTTAAAGCTTAAGAAGTTTTCTTCTAATTTCTAGATTGCACAAATTGCGAAGATTCAACAAATTAATTTGGATTAAGACATTTATGTGGCCGCAGCGCTTGGACTATTTATTAAAAATGAAAAATTATTAAATTCAAACCTAGCAAACCTAAGTTTTTCTGTGTTATCGTCGTATTCAGATTGGTTGCGTATTTGCTGAATATGATCTGTTTTAACCTACGATTTTTAAACAAAATTTTATACATGTAAATTTTCGTATAAATTTTACACAGTTTTATACCAATTTCTCGAGACAGGAACATCAGATAGAACTCTTATGGGGCTCGATCAACTCCTAAAATGCTTGGGTTTCAGCCTATACCCCCTTTCATTTTTCCTTTACACTCCCTTAAAACAATAAAGATTATCGATTGTTTTAGGATTCTCTGTTTACGGTTTCAGTTTGGTTAAACCTCTGAGTTTTAGATCAGGCGTGGTTGGGTTTCCTGGTTGTCGGAGTATTTCATGTTTACATTCTTCTAACTCAGCCCCTTGCGCCCGAAGAAGAGATCAAAATCTGAATAATTCGGTAAAATTTTCATTTTTGTTATGAACATCTTATTTTATGTTTTTTTTAATAGCTTAATTTAAAAAAAATAGTGAGCTTTAGAGGAAATTCATAATTCAAATGTATCTAAGGAGGGCATAAACGCTGGAGGGGAGGGGGGAGATTTATTTTCCCATAACATCCTTAATGTCTGATTCTAATATAAATCTGTCTAAGGTGGAGATGTCAACCCAGAGCAGAGTTATGAGCTCAAGTACCCAGGTCAGATCAAGACTGGGATCGGAGAAGAGGTTGATCTGGGTTGACTGTGAGATGACCGGACTGGATATTAAGAAGGATGTGATCATGGAGATTGCTGTGGTTGTTACAGAAGGAGATACTCTTGAGGAGGTAAATATATTTATTTCATTTATATTTATATTTACTCTTATCTGAATCTAGGTCTAACTAGACTTAAATCTAGGTCTATACAAGATTTGAATCTAGGTCTATACAAGACTTGAATCTAGGTCTATTCAAGACATGAATCTAGGTCTATTCAAGACATGAATCTAGGCCTATTCAAGACATGAATCTAGGTCTATTCAAGACTTGAATCTAGGTCTATTCAAGACATGAATCTAGGTCTATTCAAGACATGAATCTAGGTCTATTCAAGACATGAATCTAGGTCTATACAGACATGAATCTAGGTATATACAAAACTTGAATCTAGATCTCTACAGGAATTGAATCTAGGTCTAAACAAGATTTGAATCCAGCTCTTTACAAGACTTGAATCTAGGTCTGTAAAAAACTTGAATCTAGGTCTGTACAATGTATAAATCTAGGTTGGTAGAAGTGAAAGTATAATAATCCAAACTGCTGCTGGCCTGCTGGATGAGATGGATGAATGGTGTACACAGCATCATGGAGACTCAGGACTTACTGCAGCATGCTTAACTAGTCAGGTAGTCTTAGATATTCCTACTAATTACACAATTCTCTATCTTAATTTGTAGACTTGAAAGCCGTCTTTGACTTTAAATATGGATTTTTTTATATTTTATATTTATTCAAGATGGCAACATAGTTTTCGAAATATTTTTCATGAAACAATAATCTCTAAATAGCCCTAGTCCTGCCATTTCAAAAATGTGGTCTGATATTTCTTCTGTTTTCAAAAATACCAGAGATTTAAGCATAATTATTAATTAAGCATAATAGTTAGATTTTAATTTATTAAACAAAACCAGGAAATTGTCTAATTTTGAACGAAATTGTGCATTTATTCCTGAATTCGTCCTGCCAAGAAATGAATTAGAATCCTGCTCATACAAATTTAATTAAGCTTTTCTTTTTTCTTTTTATTAAGAAGGAAATAAAAGATACAAAATAAAAAATACCCGGCCCGACAAAAAACCATTTATGCTATTTTAAATAAATAATAAGAGTTAAATACGGCTATCACAAGCTGTAAACCCACAAATATTGTTTAATTTAGTAGATTCATCTTGAGGTGAATATTTGGTTAGTAGGATGTCCCTAAAACTATGATTTTATTTGATTTGATAAGTTTTGTTTATTTGTTTCAACGAAAAATAAAAAAAAACATTTCTTCCGTTTTTTCTTTTAGGTAGGTTTCAATGATGTCTAATTATTAATTGTTTTAGAGCAGCAAGTTTATTTTTCGATGCTTTGGTTGAAAATTTGGCACGTTGATCCAGATCCTTCTATTCATTTTTTCCGGATCCGGACGCATGGAGCCAAATGGAGCGGATACATAAAGTGGCGAATCCATTGGATCCGGATTCCAATTTTTGGTTTAAACTCCTCTTTCCTTAGATTACTATGAGAAGTGCAGAGGACCAGGTTTTACAGCTACTGGAGAAATTAACCCCAAAGGGAAAATGCCCTTTGGCGGGGAACAGTGTTGGAGAGGTATTTTTAAAAATTAAGTTTTACGCTCATAGCGGTATTGAGGTTCCATAGAAGTTGTAAAGATTTAAGAAAGACCTTGTCTTATATTTTAAGAGTTTTACATTTAATTTTAATTTTACATTATCCACCAGAAATTAAATTTTGATAAGAAATAATTTCTTTATTTTTTTCAGGACAAGAAGTTTCTTGAAAAATGTATGCCGCGTGTGTTCTCACATTTGCATTATAGAATCGTGGATGTTTCAACTATTAAAGAACTGTACGCAAGATGGAAACCAATAACATTATCTAGTGCTCCAAGAAAAATGGGAACTCATAGGTCAGTGTTTTCTCAGCTAGAGTTATGTTTTAGTTCAGTTTTACTCCTATCAGAATATTTTGTTGAAAAATCTTTTTTTTCATAGCTTTTTTAAAATTGCTTTTAATGATTTTGATAGGAAAATAGATAAATTTGTTAAAAATCTTATTAAGTAGGAAAAATAACTATCCATCAGGGGTGTATATTTTTAAGAATTACGGGGGACTGAATTTTAATGATTTGGGAAAAAAATGTAGAAAGGCAAATTTTTTCATTCTTTTTGATATTTTTACCCAAAAATTTATTTATTCTCCCAATTCAGCGAAAAAAAGTCTAAAAAGATTTGTTTGCGCCCGCGCAAACATACATATATAACATCTGGGGTTAGAAAATGATTTTTCGAGAAAACATACACCCCTGTTAGCGCTGATCATTGCAGATCATGTCCAATTTACCTCATTTTATTTCAGAGCGCTTGACGATATCCTGGAGAGTATTAAAGAACTGAAGTACTACAAGGAAAACTTTTTCAAATTGTAGAACAAATGTGATATCTTTATTCTGTAAAGCCTTTAAATAGATCAGATTTCTAAATATGAAAGATTTTTTTTGATTAATTTTTTTGTTCCTTTCTGTTGAAACTTTAATGACTCACTTTGGCTAAAAAGCCACAACAATTAATTATTAGTAATAGTTATGAAATTGTTATACTACTATGCGAGCGTCGATCTGAGAAACTGTGATAGTTTGTTATGTAAATTTTGCAGAAAATTTATTAGAATGTCGAGCGCCCCGATGGCGAAGATGGATCAGCTGGACAAGGTTGAGAAGGAGATTGTCTCCTGTCTTCTCACGGCAGGACAGGCGCTAGCTGAGATATCTAAGGTTAGCAGAATTTCTGGGAAAAAATTAAAAGCAGAGTAAACTCGTAGATTTACTGTTTCAATGATGTGATATTTCCCCCCCCCCCCCC